ATAAATTTTGTTTAATTTATATTATATTTTAAGAAGTAAATATATATTATAATTATATAACTAAAAATAAGAATAATTATATAAATTTAAGTATATAGAGAGTATAAAATATTCTTAATAAAAGATTGTTAGAAGAAAATATTATACTCTCTCGATAATAATACCTATAGATATAAGGCGCTTTTTTAGAGAGAGATTTATAAATCTAGTATAATTAATTTACTTCTTAAGATACTTATAAGCCTCGAAAAGGTTTAAGTAGTCTATATATAATTAGTTATAGTATATAAATAGGGTATTTTTTTAAATAATAATATATTATATTCCTTATTTTAAAGTATATAGTAAGCTCTTAAAGATAAATTATACTTTTAAAGATTTATAATTAAGTAAGTATCTACTTACGTTAGAAGAACTAATATGTAATATTTAAAGGAATAATAATATTTTTAGAGTTTACTTTAACTTATTAATAGGGAATTTAATTAGCTATAAAATTATATATATATATATATAGCTTAGTGTTAAAAGATACTCTATAAGTCAGGGTAGGTGCCTGTCAATCAGGTAGGAGAAGGTAACAAGATAGGTAGTTCTAAAAGTCAAAGACTGTTTCTTAAAGAACCGTTAGGTTTCCTCTATATAGCCTAATTTATATATAGTCTCCCTTTATTAATAGCGGGAGGAAATATAATACGTAGAGCGGGGTCCCGTTCTTATAGGGAACCCTTCTCGGAAAGATAGGGAAACGCGGGCGATCCCCCTCTGGAGAGGTCAAACCTCCTATAGGCCTAAGGCACTAATCTAGGAATAGCCTTATGTCTGATTATATCTTAACACTTAGTTTTCTATTATAATAGATTAATTTAGAGGGATTAATTTAGGAAATATAAATTCTATAAAATACTTAGTAAGAAAGGGGTTAAATAGTTATAACTACTTAGAACTATAGAGAAATAAAGGTTAAATTATAAATATATATATTAATCTTTATATAATATAAAATCTTATTCTATATAGATTATTTTTTAATCCTTTATTATCCCTTAAGTTACTACCTTTACTCTAAAAAGATATAAGAAAGATCGACTAAGCTATACTATAATTAGAAATAATAATTTAATATAGGATAATATTATTTTATAAGTAGGTTTTTTATAGTTATCGCTACTTATTCTCTAAAGCTAATATAATTCTATATTAGTCTCTTTAGATATTTTCGTTAAATCTAAATATAATTTCTAATTCTAAAAATCTATCTAGCTATTTAAAGATAATTAGAAGTTATTCGTTCTTTTTATACTATTATTTATTATAATCTAAAGCGTTTAATTTAGCGGTTATTAAGGTAGCTTTATAATAATATAGATATATTTAGCTTAAAAGAAATAAATAATCTAAGATAAAAGCGTCTCGCTAATATAATATTTCTTTTGAAATAAAAATTCCTAAATATATAATTATATATAAGCGTTATACTAAGAATAAGTATTAATTAAATATTAGTTATTAAATAGATTATATAAGAGTAATAAGATAAATTTAGCTAACTATATTATTTTTTATCGTATATAATTACTAATATAGAATCTATAGATTTTAATAAATTTCTTAGATAGGGCGAATATTAAAATAAGTTCCCTAATCTTTAGTATACTTTGGATAATAATAAAATATTTTTATAAGACTAAATTTTAGATAAATATCTAGAGCTATATAAATATCTAGACTTATTTTTATTTAGCTTACTAGCTCTAATCGAAGAGAAAGCGAAAGCGATTAATATACTCGCTAAGTTATTATCTAATCCGATACTATAATATAATATTTAGATATTAAGTAAATCTATTATTAAACTTTAAGACTATATTAATAGATTAGAAGACCGATATAATACCCTTTCTTATCTTATAATTAAAATTATTTAGATACTAACTATACTAGAAATTATAAAGAAGTAAAAGGTAGTCTACTAAATAGATATATTCTCTAATCTATACTAATTATAAGTAGAAAGATTACCGATTTAAAGGCTTATCTCGAGAACCTTTAGTTATTTCTCTTATAACTTAGTATATCTATTAAGGGACTTTAATTAAGGCCTTAAAATAAGCTATTTAATCTAATAGTATTAAATAGAGGGTATAAAAAGAGTTTTAAGATAATAATATTTTTAATTAGTAGAGATAATTCTTTATTATAATAGTTTTATTCAATTATATAATTAAATATAAGTAGACTTCGGCGTATATTAGCTATATTAAGTATATAAATAGGAAAATAATTTTAGATCCTATAATTAGATCGTCTTTATAGATAATATATATACTAATATATTATAGATATCTAGATATTAATTATACCGCGTTATAATATAGAGAGAGTTTTAGGATTTCTATAAATAGTCTAGCCTATAATTTAATATTTTAGCTAATAATCCGGCTTATAAGCTAAATTAGATAAAATAGGGTTTATATAACGTAGGCGTAATAGGTTCTATAATAATTTATATAGTAGTCCGTTTTAATAAATATTTTATATAGGGAACCTTTTATATAATCGAAAACTCTTTACTTTTTCTATCTTATATAATATAATATTATAGAAATACCTTTTTCCTTCTACTTTATCAATCCTATATAGAGAATCTCTTAGAAATAATTCTTTCTTTCCCTTTATTTCCTTTATATTACTCCCTCGCTAGGGTTCTTTTTATAAGGCTTATCTTCTTCGGCCTTATCGGCGTTACTAATTACGTACTAGGTATAAATACTAGAATATATTAGTATAGTAATAATATTTATCGGAATAATTAAAGTAGGGTCGAAAGTATAAATAAGTTATATAATAATATTACCCCTTAGTTATATCTTTTAAGCGCTCTTTTTATACTATCGTTTAGGGTATACAGGCTCTTTATAGGCGTTACTTCTTATATACTATTTTCTATATAAGCGTTACCCTATATAGGCCTTTTATAAGTATTAGTCTTTATAAGCGTTACTCCTTATAGGCGTTACCTCTTATACTAGCTTTTTATAGGTCTTTCTACTTATAAAAGTTATATTAATAAGCCCTTTCTTAATTATTTTTTCTAGTAATAACCTAATATATTATATTTACTAGCTAAAGTCTATAGAATATAATCTAGGCGGCTAATATATAATAATTTATTAAAATAAAATATTTTATACTACTAATATATATTAGAGTTTACTAGATATTTAACTATTTAATAGATATGTTAGAGAGAAATATACAATGCAATTGATTTAGAAAATTATTAAGTTTAGCGTAGCGGGTAAGAAACGTGAGTGAGTGCGCTATATATAGGATGGCACTCACTCACCTGGTAGGAATGGGATATTATTAGGCCACATACCTCCGTAGGTTAACCTGCTACTCTTGCTCTTTGGCTGTTATCCCTTAATATAAAAGGCCGAGTTATACTAGCATCCCTACGTAGAGCCTAGGTTATAAGGTAGCCCTTCAATTAACTATAGTTCGCTATAACGTGATTATATAAGAGTACGATCTGTGGAGAAAGTATAGCGCTTATGGACTTTTGAACACTTTTGGCCGGTTCCGAGGAGAAACATATTCCGCCTAAGAATTGCCTAGGATTATGGGATTCCCGAACATGCTTTTGAGCTGTTCACACGGCTCTGACTAGGAAGAGGTGTGAGTCTGTCACTAAAGGATGGGGTCGATAATTATGTCGAAATTAACAAACGAGTATATAGTTAGGGAGCATTCTAGCAGTTTACTTTAGGAGCCGACCTCGATCTTCTTTAGAATCGTGGGACATATGAACCTTGAAATGGGTTCGTAGACCAATTGGAATCTCAGAACGCTAGACAGGTTAGTACGAGGTTGTAAGAATCATTCCTCTGCCATCTTAGATCTTTTCCTACTTCAACCTTTGGTTTTCTTACTAACAAGGGATATCTCCCTCTCACACCAATCTTTCTACTCAGCGGAATTTTTCGGTGACTCTGTTCTAGGACCTCCCGTGGTTATTTGCGTGTGTTATGATCTTAAGGCTTGTGTGATGATCGCCGGGCTCTGGCATACGGATATATCCTTGCTCGAATAGACCAGACTATAATGACCGATCTGCTACTCGTTGACCAAGCTCTACATGAATATACGCAACGCGAGGAAACCTTACACTAGACAGATTGTCCAGACCGACGCGGATATTACAGCCGGCAATGTGGATGCTACGCACAGAGATATCTATCCGAAAGACAGAAAGGTAGAGATCATTATACTTTAGAATGCTGGTACTGTATCAAATCTCGACCTTCTAGAGGAACTAAAGGAGGAGATTAGAAAGAATTTAGGAGATCGCCTTTTACTATTTCGCAATATCTTCAAAAAGTGACTACTTGGTTTGTTTGCCCTATGAGGTGCCAGAGATCTAAGTGGCCGCAAATCTTTGAACTAGGATGAAGTGATGATAAGGCGTTATGAAGGTCCTGTTTTACCTTCAGAAGGCTTGCTGAGTTGGTGGATGGTTTTTTTTTCTCTCGGGACTGTGTAGCGTATAAGCTTTTCGTTTTACATTAGCTAATGTTTATCTGCCCAGTTATAGATGACCAGACTTGTTCTCATAAATTATGTTTGCAAAAAGCATCTCTAGTAAATCATGACTGCCTAAACCGCCACGATGTCGCGGCTATACTGGACGTACGTGTTTGTTAACTCAAGTTGAACAATATAACTATCTGGGGCTCTTAAATGCACCATCTACAGTATCAAATTCAAACTTAAATTCGCGGTCCTCAGAAAACTTACTACTTTGTGAAAGCGTCTCATGTATGTTGTAGATGGAATAAATATGTTTCGAGTAGGCTTATTGGCAAATTTACCTTGAAGAGCAACAAGTGTATACAGATCCTGCATAAAGGCACTAATATCAAAAATCAACGCAAAAAAAAAACAAAAAAAAAAAACAAAGGGCAAATCTGAGGATGAAAAGAGCGAAAAATCGATGGTTAGCGTCCATGTCCATGAACCGGGCATGCATCATCATGTCCTGGTCCATAATCCTCAACACGACTATGTGGATAACAGTGCATGTAATGGTTATAGGTCCCCCGTTCGAGCAGTCCCTTGCGCTCAAGTCTAAGCATCAGGTAACAAGCCCAGAGTTGGCAGCTCTGTAGTGGAATCTTCTCAGCCTCTATCTCGACAATGTCTCTGTCTCTTCTATCAATCTTACCGAGAAAGTGTGTGTGTTCGACAGACCGGCTATCAAATCTCATGTTAGGTTCGATAGTCAATGTACGATCACCCATGTAGCCAGTGCTATGGAGCCGGGTGCAACGCTCAGAACCTAGATGCTTCATAGAAATCATCCAATGGATGGTGACACCGTCAGACCCTGGATAACAAATTTGAACGTAGAGTTCATACTCGTCACGGTCCCTTCGCTTTTCACGAGGTGTGCTATGTGTGTGTCCCTGGGGACGGATGATTAGTTCTCGGCTAGACTGGGGACCGAGGGTTATGCCTAGTCCTCGATTAGACATGGTTGCGATATGGAAGGTTGCTAGGGATTGATATTTATAAAATGATATGAGTGGAGTTCTAGAGTAATGGAAGTAGTATGTCGATGATGGTTTGAGTGTGAAAATTGTCTGCTGTGATGATTGAATCGAGCGAGATTGGATCATTCTTATATACATCCCTCGAGTCCATCGAGTCGTGGTTTATACAATGGGTCTGTATAAATCCTTTGTTAAGTGCAGATTGACAAAGCCTTTAGTCTTTATTATTCAAATTCCTTTACAAAGACTTTCTATAATCTCTTTGACCAGCCCAAAATAGTTAGCAATATATATTCTAAATTCGATGACATTGTGTCTGCTTTGTTGAAAGGGCTGAAGAATATCTTTCGTGTGACGTAGAAATAAGTCAAAATAGTTAACAACGTAAATTTTGGGATAGATCATTGCCCTTGAAAAGTAGTGCATAGGTCAATGGTCGTGATGGTTTATATGATTCGCATCGGCTCTTTGTGTGTGGAAGATACGTTAGATGAGAGCTTCGTCAATCTATCGTATGTTAAAGAATTAAACAAGAACTCAGAATGGTAAATATATACTAGTTATACGGACACCGCTGTAGCGTTCGATAATTAACGGCGACTAGGCGAGTGCATTATAGTAAGACTGAGAAAATGGGGGAGAACCACTCATATCGCACGACTTCCGTGTAAAAGAGTAACAAAGTGGATTCACTAAATAGACAAGATTGATGCCATCGTAGTGTATTGAATTGGGGTAATAAAAGTCTCGTGAAAAGTAATTCAAAGATACGGGTTTGTTATTTTGGCGCTGCCTATACTGGCACTGGGATATAGATGATTTAATATGAATTGCAGATCGGGATAATCTCCTATAGTCGCATGAACAGCGCTTTAGGCAAGTTGAATTTCGTTGTACAAATCATGCAAGCTTCCAATTTGATCCTATCTGGGTGACAGAGTTTCGCCCGTTAAAACTTTGTTAATAGATTGGAATTGCCTTTTGGGGTGGTCTGTAATGATGGCAGGCCATATGAAGGCATTGAGGTGGCTGGGAAAATTTGATAACAGATCTAGCTTCGGCCGCGGTAAGCGGTGCAGTGGAGAGTTTAAAGGGCAACTCTCTTGGTGATCATCGAGTTCTGATAAAAGTTAGGGAAACTTCAGATTTAATAAAAAAAATTGAAGGTACCTATACTAGATGCACGGAGGAAATGCGAGTTAGGCGTTGGCGTTAATACTGACATTGGAAGCTCTCGAAATTATTGCTTAAAGAGAGAGGCCACACCTTGAATATTGCAATGCTGGTCTCGAGACATCAAATCAACGTCGCTTTCAGTATCGAAGTGTTCTTTCCAAGCTTTAATCACCGCGTGGGAGCCCACTTAGGCGAAATAATTTCTCTAGGGCAGCTCTTTTCCCTCAGAGATATTGTATACAACAACATACCACAGCTGGCAGTTGCATATGACGCTCTGGGGGTGTATAGCGTTGCACCGCTTCGGCCAAGGGTATGCCGAATACAGGTCTTGCAGGCCTATTTCTCTCGGCAACGGCATCATTGGTTGTAGCAAATGTTTCACTGGTAGCCTGAGCAGGAAGCGCAACGCTAGAAGAAGACTTAGGGTCAGACATCAGTCCGGGAGACTGTATTTCTTGGTCAGGAGAAGACATGTTCACTTGTCTCAAGTTTGTTAATAGAGCCGTCGTCGGTATCCGCGGTGATTATGGTGCTTGCTCTAGATTTGAGCTCGTTTTGGGAACTCGGCTTGTACGGGACTTGGCAAATTGTGATTTGGGCGAGAAAATTATCTGTCGGATTTCTTGTGTCCACTTTCGAGTAGTTGGGACTCTGTGACAGTGGTTCTTTGGGAAAGCTGCTTGCCATCAGAAAAAATGTCTTTGTTTTCAAGTTAATTCACATGGTTTGCGCCGTGTATGCTAGCGTCGGCTCCATTGGCTAGAAGAAGCCGGACAATCTCGACATGTCCGCCTGCAGAAGCAGCCTGTAGAGCATTTCCATTGACTCCGCCCTGTGCGTTGACGTTGGCTCCATGGGCTAGAAGAAGCCGGACAACCTCGACATGTCCGCCTGCAGAAGCAGCCTGTAGAGGATTCTCATCGTATTCGCGCTGTGCGTCGACGTCGGCTCCATGGGCTAGAAGGAGCTGAATGATCTCTGTATACCCCTTTCTAGAAGCAATCTGTAGAGCTGGTGCATTGACATCAGGTCCAAAGTTTAGAAGGAGCCGGACAATCTCCGTATGCCCTTTGTTAGAAGCAACTTGTAGAGACAGTACGTCGACCTCAGCTCCATAGCTTAGAAGAAGCCGGATAACCTCCGTGTGCCCTCCCAACGAAGCAGAACATAGAGCATCCATATCGCTTCCTTTAGATGCGTTGACGTCGGCTCCATAGTTTAAAAGAAGGTGGACAATATCCACATGCCCGGCTGAAGAAGCAGCCTGTAAAGCAAGCGATTTGTTCCTGTCCGGTGTGCTGACGTCGGATCCCCCTCCAAGGAGAAGCTGGACGAGCCCATAGTCCCCGTCGTAGCAAGCGTCTAGGAGACGTTCCACAGTGTTGTCGTTACCGGCACCTTTAGGTATCCCTACTTGCTCCAAAGCTGGCACAGGATCTGCGTTATCTGCGTTATCTAGGTTACCTTGGTCATCATAGACACTGCCAATGGATAGGTCCCCCGAGCTGTCAGAGTCAACCCGAGCCCCATGGGAAACTTCTTTGCCAGAGGAAGTACTGCCGTCGCTCCTAGACGATCGCGGTAGAGAGAAGCATGCTATCCTTCGAAGATGATGAGCAACATGAGAGATAGAAACATTCTGACGTTGACAAAATGAACAGTCCCGTACTTGAGAGGAAACTCGAGATGGGTTAGATGCAAATTCCGATTGGCTGTCCATTGCAAGATGAACAGAAGCTTCATGTCCTATCCAGTCGTGAAGGCAGTCATACTGCTGACCGGGGTCGGGGCAATCCTCGAAGGTGCAGATATATGGCCTTAGATCGCGAAAGACGTGCGTTCAAGAACCAAAGTCAGTAGGAGGAATAGTCACCTCTAGGGTAAATACTTACTCCCATGCTTTCCTTTCCAGTATTTTTCGAGGGCATATAATGCAACAGAACGGACATTCAAACTCTTTGGCAGAGACATCTACTGTTGGCGGAGGTGGTATCCCTACTCGATCATCGTCTTGTTGACTGGACATAGAAAAGAACGTATTTGATGAGGATACAACGGATGCATCATCATCTAAGTTAACCTTCTTCTCATCCAACCATGTTGCAGTTGAGGCCTTCAAAGTCTCAGAGACAGGTCGTACCATTGGTAGCTCTGATTGTGACGCGTGTGGTTTTTCCATATCGCGGGATGCAATTTCCGGCTGCTGTGGGTGTTCTGGCACTTCATATTTTGTCCTGCGCTTGTTCCAATATCGGAATTGCTGCCTACGTCGGGTATTGGCCTTTGCAAGACGTCTTATCAAGTAATGCCTGGGATCTGGGTCTGAATGACCGAAGAACCGAAAAAGCTCCTCGACATGAAGACGATCAATTTGCTCAAATTCTTTGATGAGGTCTGCCTTAGTCTCTGGGTCAATCTCAGAATAAGTGGCTGCTTTGGACATTCCGAGTCTCATGGTAGGATTTCGAATCTTGAATGCGAGGCCATACAGTCTGTCGATTGTCGAAATTATGTTGGCCAAGTAAGCATCTGTGAGAGGCTCTGTTTGATACGAGGAAAAGTCCTCTTCATCGGAATCGTCCGACCCTGGGAAATCTTCCTGATCATTGGTAATATGAAGATCAGTGCCATGATGTGTATCGTCGTCTTCTTCATGTAGGTTGAGGAGAGAATCTTCAACTAAAGAGCGTGGCAAGTATCAGAAATGCTCACGACTCAGGATTAGGTGAATTACGTTGTCGAAGCGCCCGTTGGAGATCATGAAGAAGGCCAAGAGCATGACTGAAAACAAGGGGTGAATCACGACATCGATAATCGAGGGAACTGTGCCCGCGGTGATACAGTCCGAGGTTTGTTGCCCATAGCTCAAACCGCTGCAGTTCACTCAAAATGGCGGAACTTTGCTCAGTTCCATCCCCAACCAGTCGCTTAAGATCGGCGCATTGATGGCTGATTCCCCAACCGACCTTGTACAAGGTTCTTGGAGATTCAATCTTCTGTGTATGGGGGATTTCCGTAGAGGTAAGCCCCAAAGTGGGGTAGGTGAGGCTGGATTGTTCGTCATCCTGCGAGGACTTGGGACTTGACTTTTCAGGCTTTTTGGACCTGCGCCGGCTGCTCTTGGAGCTGCTACGAATGTCGGACGAGGACGAGCGGCGCCCGCCCATTATTAGGGCTTTGAACATGGTGCGCAATTAATTTTAGCCGGAGTGAACCATGTGGGATGGAAGGAATCGCGGGGGGAGGGTAAGCGTTGTAAGTCAGAGAGAATGCAATGTTATGGGCGGAGCAGATCAGTCAAAGACACGAATTCTTTTGAACTGTCTCCATGAATGTCTAATTTTTCGATCATTGACTGGACATGGCAGACAGAAAGCTGAAATGAAATAATAATTTCACTTGGTATTTTTGTTTGCATAAGCGCTAACCCCTCTAGCATCATCCCCAAACCTCCCAAACCTCCCAAATCTCCCAACTCCCAAGCCCTCTTGACTTCTCCAATCATCCTCAGACATAATGAGCGGGTTTGAAGTTGCCGGGGTTGTTCTAAGTGCCCTCCCACTGATTATCACCGCAGTTGGTAAATATAAAGCGACCGCGAGAATCCTCAAGAATTTCCGGCACAAGGAACCACACGTTCAGAAACTAATTCAGGCCCTCGAAAATCAGAAGTTTTGTGTTGAGAGTGAGCTGGTCATTATCTGGAATGGGGCTTTTAGCAAGGAAGACCTTGTACCCATGCCTCCAACCTCCAACGATTTCAACAGCCCAATGGTAGCCCTGGCCATTCAGAAACACCTCGGTCCCGGGTATCAGCACTTTATTGCGGCTCTTTCACGATGCGAGGAAGCATTGGTCGAAATTGCGACACACCTTCACGGGTTGGCATCAAATGGACAGGTCTGGTGGCTGGAGGAATTTGTTAACAGCATTTCTGACTCTCATGTAGGGTCTGTCTATGCTTATTCAAGGCAATCCACCCCGACTGAATGGGTCTTACGAGTTCACAAAAAAGATCAAGTTTGCTTTGAAGAAAGATGACTTGGAGAGACACGTCAAAGATCTCGAGAACGCAACCAATAATTTGTCACGAATCAGAGACTACAGTCGCTTACGAATCCCGGTCACTCTTCAATCCACCTCCTCGGCAGCAAGTAGAATCATGTCTTCCTTTGATGCAATTCGAAGCCATGCCTGTCGACTGTACGCCACAATTTCAACTGCTTACGCGGAAACATGTCACCCGGAGCATGAGGCACATCTTTTCCTCCAAAGTAGGGCCAAGTCACTGCTTGCAAAAGGCCCAAAGCCGAGAAAGTCACCTGTTACTTTTACAATATCGTTCGGTCAGGTCGGCCCCGATGATAGATGTAGCCCATCTATGGCCACCAAAGTGAAAATCCTAGAAGGAGACACATTCACTCCTCAGTCTAGGTAAGCGTGCCTGCCTCAAGAAGAAGTCTAGGTGAGCATTTCTGACCAGGAAAGCAGTGATATCACTGTACCTACTCGTGGTGCCACTACAATCATCCAAAGCTCGTCGACTGACCATCATCGCGTATCTTATCAAATTGACGCTCAAATACGACACAGCAGGTCAACTCCTTTGACCAACCCCTCTAGCTCTAGTCAACAACCCTCCCCGCCACAGGTCATCCAGGATCTATGCCTGCATATGTCCCAGGGAATAGAGCTACAGGGCTTACATTTGTCCAAGGATGGACAGCTCTGTTACCACCAAAGCCCTGGGCGCGCAATTCGGACACAACTTGGCAAAACAGCTAGTACTATCCATTCCCTGGACGAGCTTCTTCAGCCTACATCTACCATAAAGCTCTATCTCAACTTCAGAATTGCTTTATCCTTCAAAATAGCCTCCTCGATACTGCAGTTAAATGACACAAAATGGTACCGCCGCCCTATAACTAGCGACATGATCTACATCTTATGCGAGAACTCGGGAACACCTGGATCAGCCCATCGCCCCTTCATCAGCCGAAAGTTTACTCCCTCTTTGGAGGAATCATGCGCACTCAGCGCTAAACGAGCAATGCTTGAGCTCGGTATCATTTTGCTGGAGCTATGGAAGAACCAGACGTTTGCCTCGTACGCTACTCAATCTCAGAACCCATATCACACCTTGGGAGCTCGGTATGACCTCGCACGTAACTGGCTAGATGCCAATATGAACGAGGTTCTTCCCATATACTCAGATGTAGTCACTAGATGCATTGAGTGCACCTTTGCGACTAGCAGCGCAGACTATAAATGGAGTGACACGGAATTCAGGAAATCGGTTTATGACTATGTCATCAAGCCACTTGGGAAGCTGGTTTACCCGAGTCTTGGTGAATAAAAACCTAAAATACGCATATAAATACAATATTCATATTGGATATATTCTCACCACGGAAAAAGACCCTTCTGTGGACAGGGATAGGCTACACCTATCACCGAGGCCGACTCGGCCCAAGAATATTCGCCTAGAAAGGATAAATTCCATCTAACAATAATCCGAAAAGGATTTGAAAATAATCTGAGAATCTAAAAGGGTATCCAAAGAGACATTTGAAACACATTACAAAGACATAGTAGTGGAATTGTAACCATCGTAACTGTATCATCTGTAATATCATCATAAAACAATCTCTAGGGCTGATATTAAAATTCAAGTGACACATCTAAGCCGTGTATCGTTAATTATAGAGGCGGCAGACTGTTCTGCCTTTATATGAATTACTAACCCACTAGAAATCTACAGGAATTTCTCATCGGGCTGAGAAATAGAAGTATGGAATTTAATTCGAACAAGGAATACAAGCGATGAATACTAAAAGCCCATGGGACCCAAGTTCGAAGTGGTCGCTACGAATCGCGATACAAGCGTTTTATACAGGAGCTCATAGTCAAGTCTCGAGGTGCCCCCCAAAACATTAACCGGCGGGACTTGATGCTTCTAGTAAATTGAATGTACATTGGGAACGGGCTATAATTGTTAGACTAAAAGAGGAAAATTATGCATGCGACAAAACAGGACGGTATTGATGTCCAAGAATAAAGTACTGAGCCATCATCTGACTTTCCAATTCTGGGCCCTCCCTCTCCTCTTTGTACGCCGGGGTTGCTGAATTGGTGGTCCAGCCCAGAGGAACGGTAAACTAACCAAGAAACGTGAGTTTAGTAACTTGGAGGGAGCCATGTTGGTAATGTGTTGGGTGTCAGGCGACGGAGAGGTGAGTAATGGAATACCGGTAGAGATGGAGTGACAAGGACAAGTCTCGCTAGTCTCGCTGAGAAGGTTAGGATGAAGTTATCATGAACCTTAGAGCGATGTACGATGTACGATGGATGTGGTACAGATCCACGTGGATCGTGGGAACTTTAAATAATTATGTCATTGTTCTGCCGCACCTGGGCAAGTTCAGATCAATAGTGTTACCCTTTGATTCGCAACAGTACCATTCACTCTCCAATGACCAGCTTTCTCCCCGGATTCAACTATATTATCATCCAAATCACTTCTCCTACTCTGTCACAGGACACCAATCATAGTTTCCATTCACGTTGTTTCCCCACCACGAGGGGAACGGGTGCGAAGCTCCACCAGCGCCGAAAACAGCAAATGAGAGGACGAAGAGAACCGTCAGACTGGCGCCATCAAAGGCTCCCGTAATCAGATATGAGTATTCACTGAAAACCCGTGGTTTATAGTTGCGGAGATAATACTGGACGTAGAAGCCAGCGGTGATCCAGGTGAAGATGACGCAGGTCTGACTTTGGTTGTAGGGAATAAAACCAGCGTATTGGATGTACTGCGGTAGGTTGATTTCCGCAACGTCCAAGCTTCCAATTTTGGGCACAAACTAAAGGTCGAACTGGCGTTAGCTTCAAGTATAATCAGGAAGGGCCGTGGGGTTAATTACGTGATAAATGATACGGTGAATAACCACAGCACCGGCGCCAACGGCTAAGCCAATAGGAACTGCCCCGTATGGCGTCCCAACCTTGTAGATATAGGGAGCTAAAGCCCATGATGCGGCATTTGTGTTGTAAGATTGTATACCTGCACCACTCCAGGAGGAGTTTCCATTTCCATCGACGAGAAGCGCTCGATTGCTTGTCACAATAGAGATCATAAGGGCGTAGTTGATGAAGCCACCAAGAATTGTGCCATATATCTGTGTTAGGAACATCACGCGTGGAGGGATTTTGACTAAAAGATAAGTTAGGAATATTACTCTTGTGGCCGAAAGAACTACGGGGAGACTCACGGTATTCGCCCATCTTCAGATCTTGGGAAAGATTAACCGCATTTGCAATCACATTATGTGACCAAGCAGCGAAGTACATGTTACCGACCGGGCGTCCAGGAAGAATAAGCCCAGCCAGCATTTTTGACAAATTGTTGGTAGCAATACCATTGCCGTAGCGAGAAAATAGGATGACACTCTGTACCACGGTCATGGTTAGCGTCGTTGCATGAAGATTACTGTCATGGACCCTGCACTCACAAAGGGGGCGATAATGCATCCTACTATCAGTGAGATAACGTATGCCCAAGCCGACAAGGTGATGTTCTCTTTCACGGTCACAATGATACCGAGAATAAAGCTGCCAACAAGTACGATAATATACCACCACCACGGAGCCTCTTTATAATGCTCTGCCATATGCGAATGGTGCCGATCATCATATCTACCCTCTCTCGCACTTCTATAAGCCCGTAGGATATCCTTACCCCAAAATAGGATACAATGAACGATCAAGGCACCCATTGCTGCGTTAGCCATAAACATCGCGAATGCGAACGATCCAGTGATCTTCGGCAAGCCGGTTTCAAGCAGGGCAGCCTCGTCAAGGACACCACCGGGGAAAACGGATTCGATGGGGTATGCGGTGCCGTTGCTCAGAAGCATTCTCGTTGACATGAAGGGAAGTTCTCGCGAATTCCAGCCGTTTCCATAATAGATTCCGATCATAATGATAAAACAGGAAAAGATTCCAGCGGCCTGATGAACTTGGAGTTTGAGAGGGAGTGAGGTTTGGAAAGATGTGAGCTGCTTCTGTTAGATAACTTGCTAGATCAATGCGTCGGGGAATTATCTCACATATTGCCAATCGAACGAAAACGAGAATAGGCCAAGACCCTGATTGTTCGTGGCTCCACCAAAGATATTATTGAGTACGGCACCAGTTTCACCGGTGGCCTTTTGTGCAGCCAGACACTATAATACAGCCTGAAGTCAATAAATTTTATTCGATGAAATTTCCCAAATCAGACCATTTCATCTGGTTGCATCAAGACAACACTGAAATATCACTTACCGGAATGGAAACAGAGTTTAGCCACGGGAAGATGTAGGCAGGAATAATCTCGTATATCGACATGCCGGTGAATGCATACCAGAAATATCTAAGGGGTTTCGAGTTTTTGACTTCCTGCCAATGAAGTCCCTGGAGAGTCTTGACGGTAGGCAAACTACTCCAGTAGACGGCCTCAGTGTGCCAGACAGCGATAGGACGCAGAATTCCGCAGATTCCGTATCCAAACAGGCCGATAGAAATCATACTCAAGATCACAGTAGCCGCGCTGATGGGAAGATCATAGAATAGATCCTGTGCAGCAAAGACCTGTGAGGTAGGCGCAGCATTCGAGGCTGATGTAGCAGTGATAGAACAGATTGCGTGCTCTTTCAGGCTCCATTCCCCGGTATTAAAGAATTTAGCCACCGTGATCCACAAAGGTAGCTTTCCCTGGCCACCTTTCGTCCTCCAGCGAGCTTCCAATTTGTCGCCACGGGGAAGGAATTTAGCCCAGGCATTTCCGACGAAGTAGGAGATGAGTACAATGAAGGTTCCCTGAATCGTTACAAGGGTCGGTTTGAACTATATATTGAGTTGTTAGTATTGATCCGGATGATAGATTAATTGGAAGTTACCTGATAAATCTGGTTCATCACAGCTTGGAAACACGCAAGACCGGAGGCAAGTAAGATACTGCGAAAGGTTAAGACGTTGTCAAAGTCATCTCGAATAGACAAAAGATGAAGAGCTGCATCAGCACCGGTAATGATAATCGCATTTGGATCGCCGTCGGGGTCCTTTTCACCGAGTGAATGCTCATCATTGGTAGCAAGTACAGTAGCAGGGGTCTTTTCACCGATGGCTTCCTGGCTCACCACCGAGATCTCACTGGTCTCTATAGGTGACTCAGGCATACTTGGGGGCATGTATCATGTATGTTATGCTCTGTTCCAAAAAGCTGCGGTATAGCTGTAAAGTTGATCGACAAGATTTTTTTCCCCCTAGGACATACGGACCTCTTATAATACAATATCCGAGAAAGTACAATCTCATTGGAACGCAGGGACGACCTTTTTTATGATACCATGCAGCCCTAAAATGAGCCACGGCGCTTGAAGCGACAGAGCATTGTTTTGTCTCACCACAATATAAAATAATTGAGTACTGGTATGTTTTTAAGAAAACCCTATTTGGCCCTGATGGTAACATTTCCCCTAAGATGTTAACATACTAGCCCTAGAGAGCTCGGACCCATTACTTTCTATTGGGTTCTTTAACACCCGCATAATGTTGTAATTGAATTTGATTTATGTTGAGAGTCTTCCCAGGAGTATTGTTGTAATATTGTCAAATAATACCACTATTGAAGTAGAGTAGAATACAAAAAGCATACCTTATCTTATTGAACGCCTTGCGTATGCAGAGCGACTTGGCGCTCTTTGCTCTTTAGATAAGGGACGAGGTTAAGAGTAAGGTCTGCCCACTTGGAGGTAGGTCGTTTATACTAATTTGCCTAAAGTTTGGCACTAACCTATCGCGTCTTTTGTCCGAACTTTCCGTGCTCTTTTAGCCAATGCACGTCAAGCCAAACCCGGATTACGTGGGAAAACCCCTTCTTTGATCAGCTGGTAGCCACTTGGCAATCGGAATTCCGACGGAACACCTACGCTAGAATCGCCTCTCCGCAGCTAGCGTTGCATTTTTCTGCTTTCGTCCGGACACGTGCGGAGATTGGATGTTCGTTCCGCCTTCTCTTTATTTGGTTTATACTTTTCGGCTCTCAGCCGAGGCCGAGGCCGTATGCACTCGATACAACAGAAAAATCAGCATTCGTTGTTTTCTCTTCCGCTTTCTTCATCTCCTCTCTTTATTTCTCTATGTTATCTCCTCGAGCCAATAGCACCTCATTGTCCATTGTCCCTCATTGTCTCTCTTGGTCTATTAGTAGTGTTAATCCTGACTCTCTCTCCCCCCCCTCTCTCTGAATATCGTTATAGTGAAATTCACATGAGGTCCTATCACGTTCACAGTCTAATAAAGAGAAGGGCTATATCAAACCAAACATGTATTCCAGAATTAATTAATCATATAGGCTAAATACATTTAGCTTTCATTCAGGGTCCACGGGTTCTACTGAGGACAAACCAACTGTTTAGGTTACATTTGGCGAAATTCTGAAACATGTAGCGGGGGTCAAGGCTTTTCTGCCTAAGGCAAATATACAGCACGTGCCTGATAAGAAGCCACTTTTGAAAACTAGCAATTATTTGAATGCCTTCATTTCACTTTGGATTTGCCACGGAATGGCTAGCTTGTACACAGAGATAACCTTAGCAGCGGTCAGGAATGCCAAGGTCTTGGCCCTCATAGTCGTATCGCTTTGCGTAGATGTTGACTATGAAATCAGGGCCTCCACCTTATCACCTGCTTGACTCCCAACGGAAAGAAAGTCCAGATCCTTCTTGAGGAGTTGAAGGATATTTACGGACTAGAGTGGACAACTTCTTTGATAGATATCGACACCAATGAGCAGAAGAAACCATGGTTTCTAAAGCTCAACCCCAATGGTAGGTTAATCCAAAGTGTGGGATCGTGTGATTGCTTACTTATTCATAGGGAGAATCCCTGTACTTATCGATAACGCCGGACAAGAGCCTTTCCCCATCATAGAGTCATCAGCGGAGCTACTCTATCTTGTTGAGACGGTAGATAAGGACCACCACTTCAGCTTTTCCGACGCCAAGGAGAAGTCCCAGATGATGCAGTGGCTTATCTTCTGGCATGCTTCGGGCCAGCCTAATCAAGGCCAACTGAACCACTTTGGAAGATTTGCTTCTGAACAGATACCTTGTGAGCAGACCTCTGCACTATATATTTATATGGGCTATGGAGAGCAAACATTCCATTAATCAATTAATTAATACTGTAGATGCCATCGAGAGATTCAAGGCTGAGACTCTCCGAGTTTACAACGTACTTGAGCTACATCTTTCTGGACGCCTGACTAGTCAGCCTCGAGAATATCTTGCTGGAAACGGTCTTGGCAAGTTCAGTATTGCTGATATTAATGCATATCCCTGGATCCGGGGGTGGAAACGTAGCAAAATTTCAGAAGAGGAGATGGATAGTTACCGGCATGTGAAGGAATGGATAAGTCGGATTGAATCCCGACCAGGTGTACAGAGGGGGACTGGTGATATTTACGATGAGGATGTTCACCCTGAATTACTCATTAGTACTGCCAATGAATAAGTGAATTGGGTGTCCAAATAGTGAAGTTTAGTATACAAGCAAAGTATGATGCAAAGTATGGGCTTCCAAGACCCAAGACCTGGTACTCCAGGGGCCAATGATATTCGCAACTTAAGCACATAATTATTGCAACATATATCTTAAAACAAAGTTTCCAGCGGTCGCAAGGCTTTCATTGTGGGTCTATTATACTCTCGGCTACATATAGCTTCCTCGTAACCCTCGTGAGAGACCCAGCCATTCATTGTGCTTAATAATCTGTGTTAGCATGTCTTCGAATTCGACATAAGCGTCAAACCAAGGGCTTCCTTGCCTGTCGTTAACTATCCTCGATATATTTTGCTCATAAGTTCCTGAAGCCGAATATATATATGTTGCCGGCGGACCAGCTGACAATGTGAAATACCAAGGTTTTCAGATCGGTATCGCGTTTTATAGCGCCTATGGCTCTAGCTACGAATTCGTAAAACCTCTAGCGACTAAGCAGCATAGCATACCTACTATAGCGCCAAGACATGGTGTATTCAGGTGGTATATTAATGGGACTGCTGGAAGGAAGCATATGGTATACGTAACTAAGGTGTTGGCATATAACTATAAAATAACTGATTAATAACTGTTTTTTTATTTATGTTCCCAGCCTATATATACAGGGATCTCAGCCACCTGAGATCTTTCCATTGCGCCAGTCTCTTGGGATCTGCATCTATTTTCCTTTCTAGATCACCATATGACCTAAAATTTAGGGCCTAAGCAGAAATTCGAATACCCAAATCTACTGAAAAAATCTGCATTACTTATGCAGTTGCGACTAAGTGTCATGTTTGCATTGTTTGGTGCGTATTGGGCCCCACTGGGCCCCAGTAAAGGCCTAGTGGGCTTTCACCCCGGGCACATGGCCGACCGGTGGGCCCGAAGACAGGGCCCAAAACCCAGCCCATTTGCGGGTTGGATTGGGCTGGGTTGTGGGCTTTACGGAGGTCTACAGTAGGTCGAATCAAGGCAGATCATGGTTTCTCTTTTCCCTTAGTTTGCTTGGTATTGGGTGCTGCACGTGATCGGCTGGCCAGTAGGTTGGTTGGCTCCATCAGTAAATTGCAGCTGTAAGGGCCGTAACAATAATGTAAATTTTTGTCTTGAGTCCATACTGTATCAAACCGGTCTGTGTTAAGTCTGAGATATAAGTGCTATGAGCGACAGCACGGTTGAAATAAGGAGATCTCGAGCACCGCCGCGTGGCTGGTGTGGCAACATATGCTTTCTAAAACCACGGAAGGATTGACCGATCCAAGAGTTTATCAAATCTAGTCCAGATTAGGTTAGAGCATGTAAGCAACTTGCATTAGCGTATTTTAATTTTATCTAAGCCAATCAAATTTAGGCTTGGCATAAGCACCCTGCATCTTTTAAAGAGCATGTCGCCGCCATGATCGCCCAGTACATCCATTCTCCATGTCATCAAATATGGCACCAGACAATCAACGAATTGAACTGCTTCGAATGTCACAACAGGCGGCTATCCGGAAACCAGAGGATGATTGGACTGGTACTATAGACCGGGCTGAACGGAGAAAGTTGCAGAATCGCCTCAACCAAAGAACATATCGTACGCTTCTCCTTCCTCCGATCGCATGATATCATAAAGACTGACATAGTCAGGAATGCGACGCCAGAACCGAAACATAGAGGATAAAGCACAGCTTCAAAACAAGGAAGCCGTAGTTGTACCATCAAGCTCCACTCCTATTCAGATCAACCGAGATGAAACGGGATTTACCTGCACTATCGCGCCCCCACAAGTGTATTCAATGATGTGTCAATTCGAATCCCTAGCTCTTCAAAGCTTCATTCGAAACTCCCCCGACATCGACCACCTCCTTTCCCTCTCTAGGCTAAATATCCAGCGTGCAATCATCGAGAACACACGCTTGATTGGCATGACAATGGAGTGGATGCAAGATGATGACGCTATCTCCATTTTCAACACTCCAATACCTAGCTTCTCGGTGTCAGTAATACCCCCAAGTCTTCGACCAACAGAATCCCAACAGCGCATCCCTCACCACCCCTGGCTAGATTTCTTCCCCTTTCACAATATGCGTGATAATCTTATAGCCCTTCAAGAGTTCATCAATGATGAGGATTTGTGTCATGATCTGATGGCGTTCTGGGATACGAGAAATACCGGGGCTACTTTGTTAGTGTGGGGTCATTCGTGGGAGCCAGAAAACTGGGAGGTCACGCCGGCTTTCCTATTGAAGTGGGGATTTCTGCTGAAAGGCTGTGAAGAGCTAGTGATGAATACTAATCGGTGGAGAGCAAAGAGGGGCGAGAAGCCGCTTGATTGGAGAACAACGTTAGCTTTGATATACCGATCGCCTAGTGAATAGGCAACTATACTCCTTAAACTCTTGGAGCCGGCAAATGTTTTTCATTTCGTCAGTGGCGCTGAAATGTTGCATATTTCGATATTGTCCCAAATGGAGTTGCTAGTATCGATGTTTTAAAATTTATTTGACCTAGACAGTTTTGGATTGCGACTCTAGCTCTATTTGTCACTTGTTCACGCAAACAAGCCTAGAGAGACAGGTGCCGATTTCATTTGATCTTCTTGAATCTCCTGGATCAGTGGACTCTGCGGATAATCCTCCAAATCGAGATCAAGGTATCCATTAGGAGCCCACTTTCTTCCCGAAACAAACAACGAATGCCCGTTAATGCTGACGTCGCCGAGGATTCTCAAGAGGCATTGGGCTGCATCTTCCGCCTTTGCAAACTCAACTCCCACGTTGGATACATGGTTGAAAACTTCTTCGGATAAAATTTTCGTTTTGACGTACCTGATGCCTTGTTAGCAATAGAAGTCTGCGATAGTGAACGAGATTGAAGCTCACCATGGGGAGATGATGTTGACCCGACTGCCGTAGAAATGGGCGGTCCTTCTCAATGAGTGCATAATTCCGCGAGCCGCCCATTTGCTCGCACTGTACTGAGGGGCCCGTGGACAGTCCAGGAAAGCTGCACCAGATCCGATCAAAACTAAAGAAGAATCCTCCTGCTTTTGTGATGCTTCTTTCCCATTCTGCCGAATGAAATAATGTGCGGCTAATTTGGCCGTATAGAGAGTACCCTTGATGTTGACGTCAATGACGCTCAAATTGGGCTCTCCTGGCTCCTTATCGTCACCGGAGTACGAAAAGACTTCGTCATCGCGATGAATACCCGCGTTGGCTATGACATGGGAAATCCTCCCCGTTGGAGAGAAGAGGACAGCCTGGCGAAAGAGGTTGATTTGATCACTCCACTTTGTGACGTCACATCGAATGAATTTGGTCCTTTTGGGACGATATATGAGCGTGAAGCGTAGAGATGAAGATTCGACCATGTACATACCCAGATAGTTCTTCTTCCAATTTGCTTCCCCTTTGTACATCAGGATCACCGATACAGACTTTGACGCTAATCATGTTGTTAGCTAGCGCTTCATTTCTCTGACATCGTCTCACACCCTGCGGCAACCAGAGCCCGAACATAGGCTTCTCCCAAACCGTTGGCACCTGTCTTCTAATCAGTAGTTGCTCCATGTTCAACAGAAAGTTCCAATAAACGACGACATACCTCCTGTTACAATTGCCGTTTTCCCCTTGAGGCTTTCGACATTGATGGGCTTGTTGCAATCAACAGGTCCTGCGTGGGTGTATTCTTGCATTGTGATAGTTTGTATGTATGTCGATAGATACCGAAGTTGGAAATGTTGAGAATCGGGACGAAAGGAAGTTTTATAATCCCGAGGTTTCAAATATTGTTTCTTTGGCCATTGGATATCAGCACACAAGTCCGGTTCCAATGCAAGTTGCTTACATCCCAGGTTCAACACTCGGATCCCGTTATGTAATCTGATTGGCCAAGTCACTGTTTTTTCGCACTCCAACTGCCGGAAAAAAGTGGATTTGTCCGGAATACCCCACTTGAACACCGCACTAAGTCCAGATTCAGTTAGAAAGTGTAAGCATAATCTCCAGCACATTGTGAAGTCGAGGATCACATGTTGGGTGAGTAAAACATGTTTCGAGCCAATTTAAGGGTAGATTCGTCAGCCAAGAGTGACAGGGTCGTGGCCTATCAAGAGACTCTCTGTATGGCCGAGAGGACGGATGCCCATGTCGATATATACCAATAGCCGGGAGTATCCGCACTCGCACTGGAGGCCTGAAACTGGCCATAATTGGCTGAAGTGGCGTTGTTATACCTGACCTGTCCGTAAAGGATGAGTATAAAGCACAATCAAGATACCAAACTGAGAGGCAGACGCCGTCACTGGGGCAATTACTACGCTGTGGAATGCCAAGGCTGAACACAGCTTCTCAGCTAGCTTTTGCACAGAACTAAGGGTCGACAATAGATTGTTTCAGCATTGTATTGGTACTGGTTGTAATCGAGTTGAAATTTCAGTCAAAGACGGTGGGTTTATCCCGAGATTTTTACGGTAGGGTAGAGGAGAGAAGAAAGATCTGTATTCTGTACAAACAAATAGAAACTAGCTAGATCTCGATAACCTTCCTGCTTCTACCCCTTCCAATATATAACCCGCATTCTCTCTGAACTACTATCGCTAACTAAATTGCCTCATCAAACAGAATTCACCAAAACAGGCCTTACATACACCAATCAGTGCGAGCAAGAGGGGTATTTTAGATCTTTCATCTCACGTTGCCACTCACTCACTTTAGCTGAGATTCGTTTGGAAGAAGTGAGTGAATTTAGCGAATGGAATTAGCTCCACGCGATCATAAAGGTCAACGTGACCAGCGCGAGGAACCCAAAACAGCTCCTTCGGTTCGCCCGCACGGGCATAAGCATTTTCGCTGAACTCACGCGAGTGTGCCTGGTCACCGGAGACAAAAAGCATCGGACGCGGCGAGATTGTGTCGATATCGTTGAATGGGTAGAAATTCATAAACTTCGTGTTGGTCGAAAGCGTCGGGTGCGTCGTAAGATTGGCAGTCGTGCCCCTAGGCGTGACTTCACCACGGTAGGTACGGTAGTAGTCATAGAACTCACGGTCTACCGCAGTTGAATTCACAGTGAGTACATTCGGAGTCCCGCCCGTGACCTCAATTCTGCCACCCTCTACCTCGATCCAGCGCTGCTGAGCCGCCCCAGCGATGATCTCCTTGCGCGCAGCGACGCTTTGCGCCTTCCGTAGTCCGTCCCTATTGACAGCGCCCATGTCATACATTGTCGACGTTGCGATGGCTTTGATACGTGGGTCGATCTTCGCTGCGCTGATTAGGAAGGAGCCGCTGCCACAAATACCGAGACCACCGATTCGCTCACGATCCACGTTCGTGAGGTTCTGTGAACCAAGGTAGTCGACTGCTGCGCTGAATGCATCGGCGTACAGTTCGGCGGACACAGCATTGCGCGGTCTACCCTGGCTACCGCCCCAGAATGGCATATCAATTGACACCGTAACGAAGCCCTGCTCGGCCAATTTTGTGGCATAGAGGTTCGCACTCTGCTCCTTCACTGCACCCATTGGATGGCCGACGATAACGGCTGGGGCGGAGACACTGCGGTCGAGATTGTTGGGGGTGAAGAGGTTACCCGCGATAATCGTCTGGTACTGGCTTGCGAAAGTGATCTTGTGAATCGTCACATTATCACTGCGGTAGAAATTGTCTGCTCCGTATGACATGTTCTGTGCCATGGCTGACATGGTATGAGCCATTGCCATGCCAAACGTGGCAATGCTGTTTGCAACGATCCTCATGTTGCTGCTGTTTGTTATTCAAGGTTGTGCCAGAGGAAAAAGGAGAATGTTTGGAGATAAAATAGTGCCAGGTAGGACGTGTCTATGCTTTTATATTCCATAGGGACTGGTACATTGTGACTTTTGAGACAAAACCAAGACTGGCCTCGTCATGCCAAGAAATATCATTGGTAATGCCTGGGCTAATTTCATTTCAGAGTCTAGTTAGATATGAATAGGAACAATTAAACTCGCTAATATACATTTGCAGTTTTGGCCAAAATGTTGTGTCACTTCCAATCTTATCTCCGGTGCTTACAGTGGAGTGGGTATGCCAAGTATCATTCCAACCTTGAAAGGGTTGCGTGGTTGTGCCCTTGAATAGAAAAAGAGTTGAAGATTAGTGGAGAAATAAATGCCAAGTATTTCACTAATGCAAGTTGCTTATGTTCCTAACTATAGCGAAACAGGGTTCACCACTAGGTGACGATCATTCTAAGCCCCCTTGTCTTGGCGACTTCTACGGCTATTATCTTAATAATCTAAATTGCTGAAGAAAGCACCCCTTCACTTGGGAGATTTATCTACGGACTTACTCCCAAATTCTGACAACCACGGATAAACACGATTAATGAAGTACGCGAAAGAGTCGCATAGCTTGTCTTGATTCCCAAAGTTGTTCCAACCTTAATAAAACCGAGATGCATCCTGGAATCTCTTTCGCAATCAACGAGCGGACTGCAAGAACATAGTAGCAAAGTATCATGGCCGCAAAGGTGGTTCTAACGACGCTAGATTACACTACCGAAACAGGCCAATTTGATCTAGACGCAATGTGGTCACCAAGCATTGATTACTAAACAGCACCATACCATCCCCCCACTTTTCATCCCATTTGTGTTCATACATTTGTACTGATACCTGGGCGTTGCAACCGGTAGACAATATCTTGAATCTGAGCAAGGTCATCAATTGTTGTGCCGTCTACAATATGTAGCCTGCGGATGACAGCTGAGTGGATCTGGAGGGCGAGTTTCCCTGTCACACTATTCTTCCATGCCAAGCGTGAGACAAAGGTCCTGTCCTTTTCAAAAGGAGGCAGCTCTGACCCAGAAAGTTCGCGACCTTCAGAATGTAGCCCTAGTCCGTTCGGATAGGATCGAACTCACAATATCCAGGTATAGCTAGCCTATTGACCGTCAGAAAAATATCCAAGATAACTATTTTCTCTAGGATATTATATGGATATGGAGCATATTCATGTAGAGGTTATACAGAGCAGTATCAGTATTCCAGCGAACGAATCGAGTGACCGTATAGTCGGTTTTACCAGGAATAGAATTGCGGTATTACCTCCGATGATTGGTGTGACGCAGGTGTAGGCCCTCAAGCTCTTCATACGGGTCAAAAAAGCCATTTCCCTTTATCATAACCTCAGATTGATGTGGTATTGCCTTCACGTGGCGAGGAATCGCACTTTGCTCCCTATGAGCCTTATCTCTGTGGCCGTTTTGTCTTGCGGTGGGGTCAAAGCGCTTATTTAATTCGTACTGGGCCCTTGGGGATAGATGTTGTTGACTTTTGACTAGGACAAGCTGATGATAATGGAGCTTTTCTTTAAAATCGTCTGTCAAAGATAGAATACAGTGAAATATGTCAGCTATGAAATTTTATACACGCTATCCAACGTCAATCCATTTACCAGTCAAACATTCGACATTGGTATAATCAATCTCCACACCAAAGTCCACTGCAGACCTAGATACTGTTTTTAAAGGCTGGATAATCATTGTACGTGGTCTCATAGTGAGTGCTGGCAATTGAGAGAGACTTGCATGCCAGTTCCGAAATTTGGCTTTATATAGCAGCACAGCTTAGGACCTTCACTGAGGAATCTACATATATGTAGCTCTCATACCCACAAACATCGGTGAGGTAGTCTTGCATCATTAGCTCATGCATTTCGTAAATGAAGGGGAGGGTAGATCCAAATACTAATGTATATGAATGGTTTACTTGAGGTTTACTACAGTCGTGGCCTCCAAGCGACCTTTTTGTAATTAAAGGGATGAAACCAACGTCAAGCTTCGGAAGTACATGGCTCTCTAGACCGCAGATATCTGTATGCATATGCATATCAAATACATAATTACATGCCGGAGCCTGCACATCAGCATATAACTAGATAGATGTATTGGTTTTATGTAACAAATGTCCTGATTGTTTCCCGAACTAGTGCATCTACTAATCGTCAATGATTAGTGTAGCAATGCTTGGTTAAAACGACCGATTCTACCTCCGTAGAAAATGTTCGGCTGCGTTTCATTTTCATCGGGCGCTGTCTTATTTCGATCGCTCCGTCAAAATCTGTATCCTATGAGCCAAATATGTAGGTACCTCCTCATTGATCTAAAGCAGTTTAACAAATCCGCTCCATAGACCCTTTGAGGTGAAGATTCCACAAGGATCCACTGCCCTCTGGATTTCCTTGAGCCTTTGGAAGTTCTCTTCGCCATAACCGGGGAACACCTCGCTGGCTTGCTGGGCCGACGCGTAGTTAATATATTTATACCGGTTCGTCACACCCAGATCCTTGGCTGCCGATTCAATCCTGCGAATAGCATTTGCGGTCATCGTGTTAACGGCAGCATCGTCGGTTGCATACGACCAGGCCGTGGAGAGCAAAATAACTAGAGAACGTGTTAGTGGTCATAGTAGAAAGTCTTTCCAATCTAGACGTTCGAAAAACACATACTAAAGAGCGGTTCGTCACGCTTCAGATCAATGCCAAGAGCATTACCGCCTCTTTGCTTCATGGCCGCGATGGCAGTCCTTTGTATCGGATAGCAGATGAAATTGGTCCTTATGCCGGGCACGGCCTTGATAGCTTCTACCTCCTGTCGGAATATCTCGAGACCCTGTGAGAGCAAGGAGCGGGATGGGGCCACGGTTAGTGTAGCGAACAAGTTTCTGTCACATAAGAATGAATAAATAAAGAAATAGAAAGGTTTAAGATCTGCCCTTACCGAGTTGTACCCATCGAAATAGAGCCATTCGACACACTGCTCATGGAACGTATACTTGTAGACCTGCTTAATGTAGGGATTTGGTCAATTTTGCGGAATACCGGTGGATTCTCAATTGGCTTCGCGTAGCGCTGGATGCCCATCAATGTGAAGTCTTCACTGCCTGAGGCGTAGCTATAGTATAGGTCATAGCCCATGTCGACGTCATCGGTGAGATCTCTATCTGTGAACAAGTCGTAGATCTTGTCCAGTACTTGCTCAGTTTGATTTGGAGAGTAGGATGTCTGTCCGGTGAAGACAGGGCCTTGGTCGAATGTGCGGACCGTGAAGGCCGTAACAACGGCGAAGTTATTGCCTCCTCCGCGGAGAGCAAAATAGAGATCCTGATTATGAGTCTCGGAAGCAGTGGTAATCGTACCATTGGCGAGGACGACCTGGAAATGCGGATTTTAGCAATGAATAGATTGTTCAGGCTCCTGTAGAGCAAAACACACCTCATATTCGAAAACATTATCCAACGCCCATCCGTACTTGTTCGAGAATGGGGATGTTCCTCCGCCGAGTGTGAATCCACCCAGACCCACACTGGCGACTCTCCCACCAACATAGGACAAATTGCGAGATTCTAGGGCCTGATACGCTTGGATGCTCGTTGCACCACCACCAATACGTGCCTTGGTGCCATTGTTCAAGACCTCAACCTGTGTCAAGAGGTCTAGGTCCACAGTAACACCGCCCACAGAATTGGAATCTCCCGCATTCCGAGAGTGGCCGCCACCCTTCACCGAAAAATAGCACCAGTGGTCAACGAGAATGTTCAGCAATTTGGCCACATCGGAGGCATTGCTCGGTTCAATGCGACAGGATGGGTGAATCTCCTGCTGCTTTGCATCCCAGATGACGAAATTATTGTCAGGTGGATAGTGGACCGCAGATCCGAAGATTGTGGAGAGTTGGGCACACTATAGATAGTTAATATTGGAAGAGGAAGAACTTTTGACAAACATACTGCTTGTTGACAGTTCGAAGAGGGCGTTGTGGTAGGTTTGATGGTTTCTCCTGCATTTGCCACCGCAAGGAGAGAAATCAACCAAGCAGTAGTTTGCAACATTGGAACGTAGCACACGTGAAAATAAAACAAGGGACTTGCGGTAGCCAGAAGAACTTTGCAGCTTTCTGTTCTATGCAATTGATTACGGGGAGACATGAGCCTTTATATATCATTTTTGGCCCAAACACAAGATCTACACAACCAAGAATGATAACATCGGCCAAGTCAAGAGTCAGTGCAATTATTGATGCCGGCGGAATCCGAGGTAAACCTCATCCGATGCCAAGGTGATATGCATAGTTATTGCAATATTATCACTTGGAAAATTACAAGGGGCACCACTTTGTGCAAGGGCACAATATAACAGCGTTGTAGCCTGAAGGTGCTGATAATGTATACATGGATCCATGGATGTCTACGGGCAAACTTCGGATATATGCTATTCCTAATATGGATAAGCGTCATGCAGGTTGATGACAAGGTGGGACCAGTGAAAAACCTCTAATTGGCCTAATCTTGTGGAGCAGTTCCAGGGTTCCGTACATTTGGAATTTGGATATTCTACCCGGACCTTTGGCTGTCTTCACCCTTCACGCTATCCCTACTTCTTACGGCATTTCCTTTACTAGTGTCCCCAAGTTCCTGTCATCAAGGCGCATAAGGAGCACGACATTGCAGAAATGAAGCAGACCGTGGAGCAACCCTCTAAAAAGCGGATCGCTTTACGACCATTCTCCGAGCGTCTCTCCGCATGGCCGGAAGAGGATTGGTCGGGTATAACTGACCCAAAAACACGTCGAAGACTGCAAAATCGCATAAATCAAAGAGCTCGACGTAAGCCTAATTCCCACCCTATCAGATAGCAAGCACCTAATTGACCCTGCATACAGGTCTACAGAACAAAGAATCGGGAAAGCCCTCGGAAGACAGAAATAACCAACATGACAACAACCCTCTAACTGCTAAAAAACATGCAGTTACACGGCAGATGAATGCACAGACATCAGCAACACATACCGCAGTGGACGTGACCTCACTCATCTCCTTGAAAGAAATCGAGGATGTGCATATCCTACACTCCCATTCAATAGCGACAAAAGCTACGATGCAACGTTTAGAGATGGCGGCGCGCCAACATCAGATGTTGGGGTCTCCACGCACCGATCTTCTACTCCACCTTATTCAGTTCAATTTCACCAGAGCGCTCATGGAAAACACAATGATCTTAGGTCTCACATCGGATCAGCTACACGACGATGCCATTTCACAATTTTATAGCATTGGCCCGTGGCAATATGATTATGAGAATTACCTTCCGCCCAGTCTACTGCCCACCCCGATTCAACGCTCTCTCCCACATCACCCCTGGTTAGACCTGCTTCCTATCCCCCACATGAGGGATAATTTGATCTTAGCTGGAGACTTCGAGGAGGAAACCCAACTGTGCGTCGATATGAAGGGGGGTGAAAATGCGCGGTCGGGAAGAACTGGTATTATTGTTTGGAGCGACCCCTGGGATCCGGCGGGGTGGGAGGTTACGGAGTCTTTTGCTCGTGCTTGGGGCTGGGTTATTAAGGACTGTCATGACTTGGCGCGTTCCACAACCCGGTGGCGGGCAATGCGGAATGAAAGACCCCTATTTCGTATGAGCTGATCTGGAGGATGTGTACCTCTCTGATATTGAACTGAATAACAAGTGTGGATCCAAAAAGACTGCGTGGACTAATCGTCGATCAATGCAGTTTGATGACATGTGTGGGGATAACTACGGAGTAGAGATACTAAAACATAAGGGTTGGCAGGTTTCTATGACGTAGGAATTCCTGGGTAATACCCGCAACGCCACGCTGCTTGGGGCTAAGAACTAAAAGATGGGGGCAATGCGGGAATTGAATTCCTCATCTCATCGTATGCATAAAATAAACGGGTGTTCCATTCGTCTTGTATCTCAACGAGGAGTTCCTTTGATTCTTAGTGAGGTGATACGACAGCCTCGTAATAACATGAAAATGAGCTGGGATATTCTGTTCTCTGTTCGATTGAACACTAGCTACCAACGAGTCTCGGGCTTGGTTCCCCTAATTAATACTACACTAGACTAGTTTGGAATAGCACGGCTTCCCCTCCCCCCGCCTCCATGAATCCAATCATGCACATCTCATTTGTGGCCAATCACCTTTTTAGGCTCATATAGCTCATCGATGCTCTGTAATTCTTCGTGAGTAAGCTCGAAGGAAATAGCGCGCACTGCTTCATCAACCCTCTTCTTCTTACTCATGCCCAGAATCGGAGCCGTAATAAAGGGCTTGGATAAGGACCATGCAATTGCCACAGTTGCCATCGATACACCACGTTGTTTGGCAATCTTCTCGACCTGTTCGTTGATATTTTTGTCTGCCTTTGTAGTGGACTGGCCAAGGAAACCTTGACCCTGCCCCTCCCCGCGCGTGGTAGTAGAGAAGTCACGCCAGGGCCGGGCCAGGAAACCCATGGCAACGGGGCTCCAGGGGATGCCACCCATTCCGAATTTGGCACATGCAGGGTACATCTCCCGTTCCTCCTCTCGGTAGATGGCATTGTGAAGATTCTGCATTGAGATAAACTCCGTCCAGCCATAAATGCGGGCGGTATACTGGTACTCAAGGAGTTGATGGGCCCACATAGACGAAGCGCCGATATACCGCACCTTGCCTGACTTGACAACATCATGAAGCGCTTCCATCGTTTCTTTGACCGGTGTTCTAGGATCGAAGCGATGAATCTGTAGCAAGTCGACGTAGGGTAGGTCTAGCCTCTTCAAGCTGGCATCGATACTGTCGAAGATATGTTTCCGGCTCAAACCGTACTGATTGACGTATCCAGAGTTGTCCTTTTCCTCGTCCGTCATCGCCATCGGTTGTTCGATACCGCGGCCAACGGGTGCCCACAGTTTGGTTGCAATGACGAGGTTCTCACGGCGCCAATTATATTTCTTGATTGCCTTGCCTAGGATTTCCTCGGATATCCCGCTGGAATAGGCATTTGCTGTGTCAAAGAAGTTGAGACCGGACTCGTAGCAGTGATTAAGTACGGGAAGTGCTTCTTCTTCCGGGATTGACCACTTGAAACGACCCTCCGGATTTCCAAAACTCATGCACCCCACGCCAATCGGGGCGATGCGAAGGCCACTAGAACCGAGTTGCACGTATCTCATGTTGGTCTGTTCAAGGAGGATGGAGTGAAAAAAAGGATTGTTGGGTTTGGTGTTCCCAGAAATGGGGACCAAGCAGGGTTTTATACCTTATGGACGGAGTTAGTGAATAAAAAGTCTCCCTAGCTCAGCAAAGCTTGAAATGAAACTGCGCAAGTCCGTATACAACAACGCTTTATGCGACATGATGACAGATCGCACCTGATTGGTCACATTTTCAGTTAGTGGAGCTTGAGTGATTGTTGGTTGTCGCTTGGTTTGAGAATCCTTGTGGAACGAGCCAGGATATTTGATGTGACACTTTGACAGACATGTATACTTTGGCAGGGTTTATTATAGCAAATGAGAGACGTTTTAGATTGTGTGTTATTACCTCCAAAGCTGAGTATTGAGTAGGAAGTCAAATAAAAGGCAAACACGTCCCAAGGGCATTGCTATCTACGTAGGAAGCTGTTTTCAGACATGAGCCTTACCCCTGCGGTCAGCGCTGAGCCTGTGCATGTAGAGATAAAGAAGAAAACCGTTTTTCGGTAACTCTTAATTCCCGGGAAAACCGCGAGTAACAACTGTTTTCTCCGATCTCGTCTAGGCCACATTTTATAACCTTTCATGGCCCTTTTCTTCCATCTATTAATGATTCAAACTCTCCAGATGGTGTTGTCTAAGACGCCATGCCTTCAACACGACTATGCAGGTCCTTGACCATATCAATCCCAACCTTGGTAGACTCATCTAGGCTCTTTTCCGGCAATCCAAGCAACTCATTCTGCGCCCTGGAGTACAGCATCTTGCTAAAGCCAGCCATGTTACCACTTCTGACTTGCGCCAAACCATCCTCGTATCGCTTTTTGGTAGCCTCGTGGGTAACCATCTAGTCACCGTCAGTGGTGCCCGTAACACGCTTAACACTTTCGAACATATCTTTTTTGGCTGACAACAAAGCTCTTGATATACACGCCCTTGTGAAGGAACTTCCGAAAGAGTAAGACTCTTGTCGCTCTCGTCCTCCGGGAGCTCCTTGAGGCTCAGCATTTTGTGGCTACGCCGCGCCTAACCTGCGACAACGTCGACGTGGAGTTCTTGGTGTTTTTATCGTTATACAGTGTCAGGGAACGCTTGTCAAAGTCGAAACCAAAGTGTGCCTCGCCGGTCGCCAGGCTGTAATCGTATCAAAAGCCACAACACATGGTGATCCACTGCATGCCGAGCTTGTTAACTTAATGATGGTTAGCAACCTGAGTTGCCACATAGTGCCTATATCGAGCTGCACGGAGTGCGGAAGTACTTCCCCTTGAAGATCATCAACAAGAACGAGCCCCCAATGACAAAAGCTAGAACGGCCGTTGTTATGAAAGTATTTTGCATGCCGTCGGCTTCCAACCATGGCGTGATGCCATAGTTGATCGCGAACGATATGATGTTGCGACAGAGGATTACTGAGACGAGCGACTCGGTTGCAATATCCAGAGAACATATATTCCAGCGCATATCTGCCACCAGTCACATTACAGAATCGAGTCAGCAATGCGCCCAGCAGAAGGACGGCCCAGTGAATACCATGTGCAGCTTCCATTCCCCACGGAAGGAAGCCCGCGGGAATGGCGACACAGTAGGCTACTAGTGCCCATAATCGTTGCTCGGGTTCGCGAAGTCCCTTCGATTTTCGTGCCAGGCGTATGGTATACCAGTCAGAAAGTGGTCCATTTATCGCCGCGGCAAAGATGGTTCCGATTAAAGGAGCAGCATATGTGACTCCAACTGTGGTGGCTAAGAAGTTGTAAGGGACAGCGGTTAAAATTTCCGATGATGTTGCGTTGTAAACGTTAAACCTTACTTTGTTAGCAGGTCCACTAGTACGGATTAGACTCTCTCCGTCGCCTCTATGCTGTATTCCTTATAGCCCCGACTGGTCAGCCCTCCAACACCTAACCGCAAATATTGCGGCTTCTATCGAGTCTGTGGACTCGACTTATTCTCTTAAATAGTGGTGCAATGGCCTTGTCGCTGGCACAGACAATCTCCAACTCTAGCTGCGCTATAATCTTCTCGAACACGTAATATGATACATACGACCATAGGGTGTGGAAAACAGGGCTTCCCGTCCGCTCAGCCGTACTTAAGCCACACGCCGGTGAGTTAGTAGTTGGGTGGGTGACCACCAGCGAATCCTCACTGTTGTATGTTTTTTGTTTTTTATTTTTTATCTTTTCTAGTTACCGACTAGTTATGTAGTTGCTAGCGGATCCCAGGGACCGTGGGCCATGCACGGTAGATACATCTTCTGATTGGCCGCTTAGTGTTACCGGATTCGGAATGCAGATCGAGGATCGACGCGTCATTTGGAAGGTTTGAGCAGGAACTTTATATTGGGAGATATATAGTGCATAAAATAATGTTCGAGATCATCTAGCCGAACAGTTTTTAAAATTTCTAAATCTTAAGTAACATCTATATCCAGAATCCTAAACTATATATCTTCCCATCGAATTTGGTCAAGATGCCTCAAGGTTCGTGACTCTTTCATCAATCTTCCATCCTCAGATGTTAACGAAAGATTCGATGGTAGATACCCAGCAGCCTACCGAGCACAAGAAGTCCTTATTCGAGAACATCCTCCACCGCCACCCCAAGCATGGAAACGAGGGCCAGACCGCCGAGGACATGCCACAGGGCAGCGAGGGTGAGCTTCGTTCCGAACTGAAGAAGGAGGAGGAAAGCCTCAAGCAATACTTCAAAGAAGATAAGCAACTCGAAGAAGAAGGTCAAACCTATGGAGGCTTGATGTAGTTTTCTTGTCTTTCATCGACGCTGGTTCTTTTCATATGACTCTATGCCTCCTCGAACAACCAGGGATATTACTAGGAAACTTGGTTATCATCAGTGTCCGCTCACTTGTTCGTTGACTTAAATTAAAATAAATGCGACGCTTCGCAACTGCACGCGCTAATGTCCATGCATTGATGATAAAAGCGAATCTGGTGACCAACCGTCATCTACTAAGACCGTGCTATTCTTGTTGTTCCCAAGACAGAAAAGCAAATTAAGGAGACATTTCTCGACTCCCTGGCGTGCCTCCAAACTCAATGTGCCAAGAACCTGCACCAGGTCCATAACATAATTCACTTTGAACTCCCCCTCCTCAGAGAGCCTTGCCAAGCTTTCATATAAGATAGAGCGCAAGTTATGGATTGAACTTTCCCACAGGTGTCGAGAATTCCGTAAGGATATCTCTAATTGATCGAGCATATTTGGTCCAGTTGGAGTTGTCGAATCCTCATCGGACATGATGGAAATTGACTCTTGTATTAGGACACTGATGGAAAATAAACACCCGAGCATTTCATCTTCCCACTCCGTGATGTGAGCATCATGAGCAGAAGACATAGTAGAGAGCTGAAAGTTATGACGCAAAAGTCCAACTGCGGTATGAGTAAAGGGGAATGAAGAAAGTCCTCTAGTGTAAACAGACCCCATGAACGTTCTCATGTCTTGAATGAATGATATTAACCAAAGGCAGCGGACCTTTTGAACATCGCAAGATGAGGTTTGTTGCATAATGGGTGTTGAGAAAAGAGGAGGAGAGATTCGTTCGAGGTTGTTCGTGGACTCGAGCCATGACGGCCGCGACATTAGCGAGACCCTAGAAGTTATCAGTATTATAGATTTATTCATACTTGCCGCGGGCTGCACCCACAGATAAACCACAAGTTCCAAGCGCCAGTTCTCGTGGAGCGATTCAACTCCACCTTTGGCTTCAATCATTCTTTGTAAGCCATCACGGTGGATTTTCCAATCTTCCTCTGTACCCCAGTATCGCTGTGTAACGTGATTAGCCAGTTTCCCACAAAAATACTCGCACTTGGTTAACATACCTCAAACGTGAGCAGGCGAACAACAGCAGCAAAAGAGTCGTCGCTTAATTCCTTCTCGGGATCACCAAGCCAGAGGCGTAGTATCCTGACAGCCTCGATTTTATATTTCAAGGCATCAGAAGAATTTGATCCCCGTCGCGGGGGAGTGCCAGCGTATAGATGAGATAGGTGCGCAGCTGAGTGCGCCATGATGCAGTTGAAAGACGAAGCATTCGAAAGATCCAGCGGGAACCACACATCCCTCATCGGATTAAACTCGGTGACATCCAGATCTTCGAACATCATAGCCGCATGGGTGCCAATCCCTACAATCCTATCAGCAAAATATCTACAAAAAGTAACATATCAAATTCAGTTATGATACCTACAGTGATGTAAAAGTTTCTGATGCTGGCTCGTCAAGTGAACAGGACATGTTTGAAACGGGTCAGGCTTCGAGCTCGATAGCGCATAACTCACACCGCGCAACATCTGAGTGGGAATGCTGGAATCTTTCTCTCCATTATTGACCGCGTTAATGTTCCAGTGATGTTGCAACCCTGAAAAGCCAATCGCATCTTCTGGCGGTGAAACAGCTTCATTAAGGCCGCTTTTCGGGAGGAGAGGCAAAGTTCGCGATAACCTGTTCTGGTGGTGTGTTTTCACCTTCTGATTGTGCTGATGCCGCCGCTTCCAATGCTCCTTCATAGCATGGCTCCGAGCTTCCGATTGGGTGTTCCCTGTCACAAATGTGAACTGGGGTGTTGCACCTGAGGAGCTGGAGGCCCGTGGAGACATTATTTTTTATAGCTATAAGGAGGTGCTGTTAAGACAGTTAAGCGCACGGATTGAAATGTGGGATGGGAAATGTAGATCACATGATGGGCTATGCCTAGAACACTCAGACTTGGTGCGATTCGGAAATCCACTGGGCTCACCTGGAGGTCTACGCCACATTGTTTGGCTTCATGTGGGGGAATACGACAAAGACCTATCCAATAGAAAGATTTGCCACAAGTAATATCCACGGATGTCTTTTCGGGTTCCAGCTCGGGTTCCAGCTCGGGGATGTCTGTAATTAGCTGGTTATATAAGCGAAAAATCAGGGTATCCCCGAGCTGGAGGCCCTGAGCTCTAGCCCCACATCTCGATCCGTGTCCAGTGTATCAGCGGTAGTCAAAGAAACCCCCAATTTTTATATTCGTGCTTAACTATCATTACTGTTTTCTCGTTTTCCAGTTATAATTCGTAAAACAAAATATCAAAATCCTCCATTCACATTTTCCTCCAGAGACGTAACCAAGTATAGTAGGGCTGCAGAAATACTAAAGAAACAGATTGATTCAATATTATGCGGCGGCCTTGATTGATGCTTCGGTACGCTCTTGCAGCCTCAACCCGAGGTCCTTGTCAACACGACTAAAAAGGCCTATATTCGGTGTTAGACTTGCACTCCAGCGGACGGATCTTTTTCGAAGATAACCAGTAGAGCACTCACTATAGACAGCTTTGCGCAATTCGGGGTACTGGACATTCTTGACGCTAGAGACAAGATTGCTGATAAGCCTATCCTGGTGACCAGGGTCACGACCAATTACCTCCCACAATGCTGCGGGCTGGACAAAGTCTGCGTCGGTGATCTCGCTGGAATAGGCCGAAACCTCTCCCGCCCACTTTTCATGATCAGTGTGTAGGTACAATGCTCCAGGGTTTGATCCTTTCACGTCTTGGTAGAACTTAGTAGGTTTGATTGAGGAGCCAACATAACTAGGATCTCCGCCATAGTTGTGGTCAAATCGCATTTTCCCGTCCCTCTGGAAAGGACAGTAGACTTGGACCTTGGCAGCGTTGGTTGGGAGCTGCTGGTAGTTCACTCCAAGTCGGTAACGGGCTGCGTCGGGGTATGCAAAAAGTCGTGCTTGTAGCACTTAGTCACAAGTAAGTTAGCTCGAGAATTCCTAGGCGAAGAATTAATGGGCTTTCCCCACTTACCTGGATCAGCGGACGCTGCGAATCCCGGGACCATCGTTGATGGCGAAAATGCAGCTTGCTCAATATCCGCAAAATAGTTTTGTGGCTGTCCGAGTTCAGAGGCTGCAACTGTATCCTGGAGAGCGGCGAAATACTTACATTGCGGTTCATAGTAAGACGACCAATCTGCTGTAGAGGGAGGTCCTTATGCGACCAGACCTTAGTCATATCGAAGATATTTACTTTGTATTTCTCGGCCTCTTCAGGGGTCATCAGTTGGACATAGACATTCCAAACAGGATAATCGCCTCTTTCGATGGCCTCAAACATATCCTGGATCATATAGTCAGGATTCTCTCCGGCAATCTTGGTAGCTTCTTCGCCGGTGAAATTCTGTATTCCTTGCTGCGTTTTGATGTGGATTTTGGCATATTTAAACGAGCCGTCCTACACATAGCTTTGTGAGAGGATGTTTTAGCATCTGGTAGTCATCATCGCTTACTGCCTTAGTGAACTTATATGTATGTCCACTATACGAATTCATGTAACGAGGTGATTTCGGAGTGCCACGGTCGCTGAATAGAACCATAAGTTGATGTATGCCTTCAGGGTTACCGACGTGGAAACTAAACTAAATTAGAGTCCAATTCACCAATTGGATTTAGAGGAAGAGACATACTCCCAAAACTACGATTGTTATTAGATTTACCCATCACGGGATGAAAGAAGGAGGACTTACCATGCTTGCATCAGGAAGATGGGTTTGGGGGTGCCGCTTATGAGATCGGTTCATCGACGGGAACTTGATCGGGTCGCGAATGAAAAAGACAGGCTGGTGTGGGAACCCGATTTAGAATCAATTAAAAATATCTTCGAGATAACGACCGAGCATACCGTGTTATTAAAAACCCAATCAAGGTTTCCCTCGTCCGTGTAGAGTTTCATCGACCATCCGTGGACATCGCGAGCGGTATCAGCAGATCCTGACTCGGCCCCAACGGTTGACACGCGCTGAAGCACCGGTGTTTTCTTTCCGGCCTTGTTGAGAAAGCTGGCGCAGGTGAAGTCAGAGCAATCGCGGGTGGCTTCGAACTCGCCATAAGACCTACACAGAGTGTCAATCCAGAAAGCTTTCGGGGGAACCTTAACAGCAGCTTACCCAACAGCTTTAGCATGAACGACTCTATTCAAGGGTCCAATGTCAGTATACCGTAGAGACCTCAAATTAATCGATGAATCAGACAATGGCACTTACCTCTCTGGTATTCGCTCGCGCGAGAAATGAGCCAAGGTCTCAATAAGCTGGGTATCCTGAAGCAACCCGAGCCCGCCGCCCTGTCTATCACGCATCATAACAGTCGTTTTGTTGCTGGCAAAAGGGCAGCCTGGGAAGAGTCAGGCATAAGCAAACAAATCCAGGATTGAAAATACCTTGTACCTTCAGCCAGAGTGTAATATTTGTTGTCGCCCATACTAAATGACAATTGGGGGTGATGGTAATAGTTTCAGATGAGACAGAAGAATAAGAATTGTATGTGCGATTACTGAGTCAGGGTCGCCGGAGGGTTGCAGTTTATATATGTTGTCTCAACCTTAGAAGAAACCTCGCCTTTTGATTTGAGATGGCTTTGAATTGGTTCTTAGTATTACACTTACATCCATTGGAGCTTTGCCCTCGACAGCTAGGAAGGGTCCACAGCCGATGACCCCTCATTTCAACACATATATCCCTCTTTGTAGCAGATGACGCAGCAATGCAGTGATGGCGTCCAATAGCCAAGCCTTAAAGTTGATGTAATAAGCCGGTGAGATCCAGACTACTACCTACATGACGTACCTGGGTAAGTCGCAACCTTAAAGCGAGGGCAAACGTCTCATTGGTCGAATACTACTACCAAATCTGGTTAGTGAAGATCTGTACCAAAACCCGGATCCGTGGACCCACTACCCTTGACCCTTGGAAATCTTGAAAGCTTGTTAGGGCTTAGCGTAAGTATCGTGGTCATCAGGCAACTAGATTCTGATGGATTACCTGCAAACCCTGCGCCCTTCAGCTTCCAACTACTCTGTTAAGGAATGTCCTACATTCTAATTCCGTTGGAGCCGTATAACTTATTTCCAGAGTTTGGAGCAATAGTTGAGCTCTATAATACCACGTTAGCCATTTGTCTGGATCCGGAGCGTGCGGATCTTTTCTTAGTGTGCTTCCATAGAGCTGACCAAGAGAAGAATCAATCAAATATATTTAGCGCGTATCTACCGAGTACAAACTAGGCTGTACCCAGACATGGATGCAGCAGATGTCATGCCGAGGTAACCCAGCAGGTCCATTGGTGAGACATTTCTCTCTGTATCACTCATTGCAAGCCGAGGAGACAGTCCACTATGTGCTTCTAAACAGCCAACCACACAGTGTTGAGCTTTTCAAATCTAGTCGGAGCTTTGTAGATCTCTCCGAAATACGCCTGTCTCGGCCCGCCGAATACTACCGGTTCAAAATAATCCAGTTGCAGAAGTCTCGACGTGTTTAGGATGCGTGGCACGGGCGAGAGTGCAAGGGATTGGTAGGTGTCGAACTCGGGACCGGTGCAGCTCATCCTATACATCTCAATATGGAAAGACTATCAGACCAATGGGAGATTATTAGACGAGCCTGGACCCCAGGATATGTGGAACTGTTATTTTACTCCTTGCACCCAAGTCTATGACGGTCATTGGGGGTTTAGGACTGGGATTCGAGACTTTTATACCAGAAATCCTATCGCCTCAATTATAAAAGGCTTGTAGAATTCGTCTTTCATGGACTGAGAAAGCCATCATTTTTGAAACGTTCAATTTGCAATATCTTACCATCGTCCTCACTCCATTATGTCTGTCCAGGACAATGCCAGATTCGACTTCATTATCGTTGGTGGTGGTACTGCCGGCAACGTGGTAGCCGGCCGCCTGGCCGAGAACCCCAACGCGAGAATCTTAGTTGTTGAAGCTGGTGTTGGTAACTCGAAAGACATCGAGGAGATCAGAACCCCCTCGGAAGCGATGCAGCTTCGAAACAGCCAGTATGACTGGGCCTACAAATCAACCATAGTCAAGCGAGAAGACTATGAACGGGTTGAGAAGCCCAACACCCGCGGCAAGGCTCTCGGTGGTAGTTCGTCCCTGAACTACTTCACCTGGGTTCCTGGGTCCAAGGGGACCTTTGATATGTGGGAAGAGTATGGTGGAAAGGAGTGGACTTGGGACCCTCTCGTTCCCTACCTGCGAAAGAGTGCGACCTACCATGACGATGATGAGGCATACGCGCCAGAACTGAAAAAGATCGGCCTAAACGGTCCGATCCCGATTTCACATTCCGAACTTATTCCTGAGATGGAGCCGTTCCGTGACCTCCTCACCAATGCGTGGAAGTCCACTGGCCAGCCAATCAACGAGAACATCTTCGACGGTGAAATGGTTGGCCTGACCCATAGTGTCAACACGATTTACAAAGGTCGCCGCTCTGGCAGTTTCCTTTGTGTTGATAAGCCAAATATCACCATCCTTCCCTTAGTGCACTCGAAGAAGCTTATTATTGACGACGTCGATAAAACCTGCAAGGGTGTGACTGTTATCACAGGTTCTGGTCAAGAACTAAATCTCTATGCTACCCGAGAAGTCATCGTCTCGCAGGGCGTCTTCGAGTCGCCTAAGCTGCTGATGCTTAGTGGTATCGGGCCTGCCGCTGAGCTTAAGAAGCACGGTATCCCAGTGATCATCGATCACCCCCACGTTGGTCAGCATCTCTTGGATCACCCTGGCGTTCCTTTCGTCCTTCGCGTCAAGGATGGCTTCGGTATGGATGACTACATCCTGCGCAAAGGAACCCCCCATAACAATCAGGCCATCCAAGCCTACCAGACCAACCACAGCGGTCCACTAGGCTCCGGCTTCCTTGAAATGGTCGGATTCCCTCGGATCGACAAGTACTTAGAGAATGACCCCCAGTACCGCCAGGCTAAGGCCTCGAACGGGAATAAAGACCCATTCTGCCCGTACGGCCAGCCTCACTTCGAGCTCGACTTCGTCTGTCTTTTCGGTAGCGCATTCCAATGGCACTATCCCACCCCAATCAAGGGCAACTACATGACTGTCATGGTTGACCTTGTCCGCCCTGTCTCCGACCCCGGTGAGGTCACACTCAACAGCGCTGACCCGCTGCAACAACCCAACATTAACCTGAACTACTTCAACAACGACCTCGATATAATCGCCCTCCGCGAGGGTATTAGATATACCTACGATGTCCTGAAGAATGGTCCCGGCTTTAAGGATATTATTGAGGATGAGTATCCCTGGGAGATGCCTCTGCACGATGACAATCTCATGAAAATGGCCGTCCTGGACCGCTCCCAGACCTCTTTCCACCCTTGCGGTACTGCCCGTCTCTCGAAGAACATCCAGCAGGGCGTGGTCGACCCTAACCTCAAGGTCCATGGAATTAAGAACCTCCGTGTAATTGACGCATCTGTTATCCCTGTCATTCCTGACTGCAGAATCCAGAACTCTGTGTACATGGTCGGTGAGAAGGGTGCAGATGCCATCAAGCGTGACCACAGTGACTTCTACAAATAAGCTAGATAACTGGGATGAGCTGAGCTTTTAGCCTGAAGGTCTGGTATGATGTGGTCTCGACTCATAAATTTGTCCGCGACGAACTAGTTTAGTGAATAGTATCTGTGTCCAACCAGACTGAACTGCAGTATAGACTATTCTGTGCCTCTAATATATACAAGTACACACTCCGCAGAGAGCCTTGACCGAGAAGGCCCTTCAAGTATTATGTATTGGAATTGAGAATGTTGAGTGCGACAGTGAGCTTTGACGACATGGTTGTAGTAGTCCAGTGTTGTTCAAGTGAGGGGATTAGGCAGAGAAGGAACTGGCCGGGCGTAGGCAAGGTAGATAAGTGAGCAGGGAAGCAAAACTCCAAGGAACTAAATTTGGAGATGTCGAGTCCAACAAAGTGTATCGCTCGTGCGACGTAGAATCTCTACTTGAGGACTAGAAGACCGTGAGTGTAGTATATGAGCCTCATTTAGAGCTAAAGAATGGCCTTTACTATGTCAGCAGAGGCATTTTCCACCCAATATGGCGAGTATATCGAGATCGCCAGCTTACCTTTCTAGAAGCAATGTGGCCCACAGAAGACGAGCATGAATAAGGAAGTTCGTGCACCACATTAAATTCGGCTAACATTAAATTCGGCTAGCATTAAATTCCAGCACTTTTGAGCATGTTAATGCTGCTGGTAGTGGTTATCGTTCCCATGGAATAGCTGTCTCTCGAGATCTTACTCGCAAAATATCATTGAGCCAAATTCCACCATCCGGTCGTGAGTGTTGGACAGATTGAACATCATGTCAATACTTCGGCTGTTACTGCTATTAGCCATTGAGCCCGTGCTAATTTCTTTTTGTCCACTTCACGGTATGAGAGTTGCCATCAAAGACAATTATCAAATCAAAGACATGAATACATCCCTTGGAAACCGTGCCTACTACAAGGCGTATCCAGTTAGTAGTGACACGGCAGACGTGGTGCTGAGACTGCTGGATGCTGGTGTTCATGTCGTGTGGGAAGGTACATTTAAGTTCCTTTGCTATGATGTAGCACCTGATGCAAAGTGCATACTACCAAACACCATACAACCCGCGAGGTGATGGTTATCTGATCACAAGGGGGCCTAAGTGTCAAAAATATAGAAACTACCAGATCGACAGTCTATACCAAACAAGCACATCCATATTTAAAACCTAGTTTTAAAAAATGAGGTCACTAAGCCCGAATACTATAACATTGAAAGGAGAAGCATGACGTAAGAAAGTCTCTTTCGTATTCACGGTAGTGATATAGAAAACCCGGTAGGCAAAACCACACCTGAGATATATATAATATCGATATTTTATCTATATATTATGGGGTCGTTTAATACAACTTTAAGAGAAAACGGGAATAATCCAGTCCTACCGAACTCTTAATGTATACCTCTGCACTTTATTTACAGAATATGAACCCGAACCTCCACTAATACGATTTTGTTCACCGCTCTCTAGTCCGTGCTGAAGTTGGTGCAATGGCGTATACCAGGAATTACAATCGTATTTCAGAGTTATTCTCCAGTGACGGAACACTTAATTCCCGAGTCACCGTATCCCCGAACATGTTAGTACTAATTTTCTGTCTGTTCAAATTGGATAGAACAACAGAGTATCTGACATGAGGTGGCTTGCCCGTTTCTGTTGAGCGGGAAGAGGATACACGATCGGAACTAGCTAAGGGGTGCAGGGTGGTACAAATACTGAATGAAAATTCAATTTTTCATCCTAGATTGGAATGATTACCTGCAATCCCGCCCCTGCTGACTCTGAAGAAAAATTCGGAAGAAAACGCTTCCCTCAACACTCCCCAGTTGCAAGGACTGGTTGTGTCGAACAGTGGATAACGCCCCCAGCCAGCGGTAACCCAGTCACATGCACCGGCTGCACCACGCGATCTGGACATAAGACCTGGAAAAGAGCAAGAGCTTCTTGGTCTCGCTGGGCATCCCCAAATTGCGGAAGGATCAAGCCTCCGTTGACGAAATAACAATTAACATAGTTCGTCGCTGGTTCGTCATACGTCAAATCGCCCAAGACAGTTGGATCAGGTTCGTCGACAATATGTATTTCGAAATGACGTCCCCTTGCATCCAATGTATTTCGCAAAGTAGCTTGTATCTCCTCAAAGACCTCAACCCATACCCTCGGGGCACTAGGATGCGGCCGGGAGAGAACCACGACCCCTGGTCGAATGAAGGTGACCTCGGCATCAGCGTGGACGTCTGTCACGTCGAGACCTTTGCGGCCAGGAAACCAGATAATCTTTTCGACTCCTAGCAAGCGGCGCAATTCCTCCTCGATTTCGGATCGTGATAGCCCAGGGTTGCGATTCTCGTTGAGAATGCTACTTTCCGTGGCTAGCAGTGTCCCGTCACCATCAGCGACTAACGCGCCGCCTTCAAGGCAGACTTTTGATTCGACGAGAATTACTGGAGATGGTGACTGATCAGATGCAATGACGCGCTGCGCGAAAGTTGCATTCTCTTCAAGCTGTGCTGGCTGCATCACTGGCCAGTCAAGCCCGTCGCAGGCGCGGTCATCAAGGCCAATGGCGTCTTTACGTCCCCATTCGCTAAAACGAAAGTTGATCGCAAACCGAGTCTGGCGGTCGCTCCCGTCAAACAAATTGACATAGACAGGCCCTGTATCCCGTACCCAGAGATGATTGGTTAGGGAGGGAATAATGGTTATGCTGGACTTGTTGCTGGAGTATTTAGTGTCGCTCTGTTCAAGCAGAGATTGTGCTTTGGAGATATCTTCCGGGCGCGTGAACAGACGGACAGGCTCGAATGCGGAGATTGCAGAGGCTAGGCTAGTGATCTCGAAGCATGCGCTCTCATAGTATGCTGCAGCGATGGATAATTTGGATGGAAAACCTAAAATTGTTGCGGCGTGGCGTGAAGTCTCGCTTGGGTACAAGTACCTCATTTTACCTTCAGCTGTATCAATCGCCATCCTGATGGGCAAAGCGTAAAGTGCTTCCTAGCAAAGGTGGTACGATTGTACTCTGAGAGAGGATCCGGTTTTCTCGTACGTGAGCTCCCTTCTTATATGTAACGTGGGTCAGCGGACTTTAGTCCGCACCTCGGCTAATGGGCTATCTAGCAAAGCCAAGGCGTCCTTGTTCTTTCTGTTTCAACAACACGCCTTTATTTGTATAGTAGATGTCTGAACATGGTTGGTCTTTTACACACTGCTCTCGCTTATTGAGTCATCTAGAAAATTGTTCTTAATGGCATGTCGTATGAGACGTATTACGCGTCTGAATTTAGTGAGTCATTTTGAATTGCCATATGCCGTATAATCAATGTTACAGTGGTGTGAATCAGTTTTTAATCCCTAGTCCCATAACCTCTAACGCTTGAAATCTCAGTAGCAAACAAAGAACCCCGACGGTACAAGATTTTGGCCTGCCAGCCTTGACTTGGAGGCATATGGTTGGATACTGCCAAGAGGTTCAGGGGCAGAGTAACTGTAATGGATATAGCGTATTTCAGGACAGGGTTCGACAAAGAATCGCTGTGTGCAAGTGGTGGAACTGATTTCGCTCCTCTACCAGGAGCTATCTTTCTTGCCAGTTGGGTATTGGTATTTCCAGATGTGACTTGCAAGCTCGTCCATATCTGCTGCTGTCAGAAGGAAATTGCTCTCCCCGTCTCTCTTGTCCCTTAGGAAAACATCCGAAAATTGTATCTCTAGTTGGCCATTGACCCGAGGACTGCCTGGACGGGGGTTGCGGACAACTTCAATCTTTTGATTGGGCGATGGAGGCTTGTCATAGGCCCTTTCCCAGCTCTCCACCATTATCCTACCGCGGAGCACACTGATGGTGATGGCAGCATTGACGGCACTATCTGGATCGTCCAGCCAGAACTTGATGTCTTCTTGGAGCTTGGTGCGACGCTCCGACCACGCAACCTCACCAACGAAAGTTGGCCACTTATGCGATCGCCCATTTGGCACCTCATCTGGGCTCCAAGAGATGTCGGCCTTCTTGGTTCGGGACTGGCCACGAACAGTTCTCGCACTTGTGGGGGAGAGAAGGGGGTCGACCACTCTTCTGACCCAAGCAGAGAAGATGGTGTTAAACGCTCCGGCGGCAACGGCGTGGGCTGAAGACTCCATTTTTAACAGAGCGGACTGAGAGACATGATCGTAGATTTCCCACGACAGCATCAGTAGTTTATCTCCCGAATTTACGAAACACTCAAGGAAGGAGCATTCGTCAATATCCATAATGAAATAAGGGTTATATGAGCATCCGAGTAGAACTTCTTCACGTTCCCATCTCTCGGATTCTTGTTCCAAAACCCAAAGGCATTGATGGTACCCCTCATATCTATATCTCCGTGTAGTTGGGGGAAGAACATCTTGAAAGGACTTCATTTTCGCAGCTGAAGAGATGGAAACTGCCAAAAAGCCTTAAGCTTGCCGTATATCCGTTGTGGGTTCTATTATTAATTATGACGACAATCTCAGTTACTAATATACCAACATTGCTACCATGGGATATATGCACCTTCGTTCACCTGCCAGATCTTTCAAGCAAAATAGTGCAATTTATTCAAAATTCTAAGTACAAAGGGAGAGGAGAAAGGAAAAAAGGGTATTTAGGATATAATAATATGGCTAATAAGAGCCGATACTTCCGTTTGACGATCTACTAATCGGATTGCGATATATGCCTAAAAAGTGGTCTCCTATTCTTTGTTTACTATATTTACTATAGATGATTCTCTAGCAAACAAAGAGAACTACGAGTAAGGATAAAAAAGGAGAATATAAAGAATCTAAGTAGTTCTCTCTAAATTCTCAAGGATAGGATAGCCTAGAAAGATAGAAATAGGTTAATAAGTAGAAGGGCGATGGTTTTTATATATAATTGTACTTATTTTTCCTTGTACTAGAGTAATAGCCCACAATATTTTCTGACTGAAGTACCAAAATTATGATTGCCCACTTTGTCCGACTATCTACATTGCCATGGGCCAATCCCCGTTCAATATATGTCATATACTCACATACATTCGATCATTTGAATAAATTATCAATACGTCATCCCATTTAACAATACGCAAAAGTGCGTCAAAATCACTTCAGTCCTCCATAGCTCTGACCCTCAGTTTCCAACCCCTTGTGCTCTTCATAATACCTTTTCAGGGCTTCATCATCCTTCTTCAGGTAATCTTCATAGGATTTTGGTTTACCCGCGTCCTTAGACACTCCGTCCCTCTTTTCACTGTGGGAATTATCTTCCTGTTTGTGGTTGTGATGATGCTCGAACATCCTCTCGACTAGGGATTCCTTGTGTTGAGTATGCTGCTGCCCGTCTGCTAGGTTCTTTTTAGATTCTTAACAAGTCCAAAAATGACTATGGGGCAAACCTTCAGGCATGTTGGTGTTTGTTGGAAAGTAGATTGGTCAAGTGGGTTATAGATCTTGAGGGATGGTTACGACTCAACGGAGCATCCTTCACTTAGATATATCTGGGCTGGATGACTGAGCCGCGAGTAACCCGGTCCTAACCATCCCTCTTCCGTACAGGGTTTCTCACATGCTCGTATTGCCCGACCTTGGTAGAACTAACTAGCTGCTGACTTATACCCAAAGCTTACCAGATACACGTTAATATCCCCAGCCAATAATATCTCCTCCCTCAACGACATATGGGGCGATGTACAATTATACAGACTCGGCACTGATATGTTCATTCCCATGATTTCACGTTATACGTAAAATCTAAACACCAGGAAAGATTTACTGAGGTACTTTTACCACATTTAAGCCCCAAGGTTTGCATAATCAATTCTCAATGATCTATATACAAGTCTGTTTATTTTTATTTTGTTTTGTTTTTTTCACAATAATAACTTGTTATTATGTATAGAAGTACATACAAAGGCCCCGAAAGTGTTCACTATTGACCAAGATATTGATGCACTTCCAAGCAAACCATCGTTTTACTTAAATACCTAACAGAACCCTCACATCAAACCGCCATATGTTTCCCCCTCTGCTTCCTCATCCTCTTCCTTGTGGTACCAATCCATGTACTTCTCCTTCGCACTTTCCTTCTGCGGAGCTTTTGGTTGTGATTCGGGTTGGTTTTCCTTTACATCATCCTTGTGGTGATGGCCGTGATGTTCAAAAAGTTTTTCCACAACATTTTCGTGGTGCGGGGGTTGGGGTTGGGATTCTGTATTTCATCAATTGCGAGAATTATTTATGATAGCCTGGAACTGAACAAACGTTGAGGTTGAGGCATTTCGAGTAACTAGACCGTTGGATGGCTCAGTTTCCGTGACTGAAATGGCGATTGGGATTATGAACTGGCATTATATCTAAGGTGAGATACAACTACGATGGACATGATGTCAACACTTTTGATGGCTGGCGGCGAGATACGCTCAGAAAGTTACCCGATGAGGCAGTTTCCCCACATTGACTTTTAAGGTTCCACCGGAAGGATCACTCGGGACATTTCTGTCAGTTTAATTGGGTTAGAAAGTTGGATCGTTGTCGATTCAATTATTATCTAGATCTAGCTACCGTAGTTCTGCATTCGATTTAGTACTGAGCGGTTTTTATTAAGACTTTTCAATCAGTCCAGTAAATCTGGGCCTTGCGATTGTCCCGGGAGCCAGTATTCATCCACGAGTACATATGCAACTACCATGTTAGATAATGCACGAATCATCTTCATTTAGGTTTTTGATGCCATGTATGGATAGATACAAGGTCGGTATAGGGTAGTATCTCGGTTACCTGTATTGAACTGCTCGCCCATTTTGGATACAGTAATTGCCCAATCATCTTCCATATATAACATTGTTTCGAGATACGACCATCTTGGCGTTCTAATTGGCTGGTCGTTGGAATTATTATTACGATACACGCGTGTAACACCGAATCGACGCCGAGAAAGAACGAGCGTCGATAGCAATAAATTTAGTGTGCGGTTGAAACTCAGCTCCTGCCTGTCCATTCTGTATCTGGCTCAAATCACGGTGCTGATTGAGTTTTGACCGATCATCGTCCATGGTACGGCAAGATGTGACTTCTGTCATGACAGCGGTGGACCGTAACACGAATGTACGCTTGCTCGGATATATTGGCTTTTGGTCATAGACTCTGCGAGGGTCCTAAAAATAAAAACTGACCAATACAAGCCGCTTTGGTTGGGCCATCAGGATGACGGAATTGAGTAGCCAGAAAGAGAACTCAAAATAGCCGCATCTAGTTCTGCGGGTTTGATTGATATATATATAACTCGAACCAAGAACACTAAACTGCATCAAAAAGGTCCTAAAGCCATTTCCACAAGAAGTGTAGCTATAGAACCCATCATGTCCGCTGACAAATACTATACTCTTGCCGAAGGTCAGTCATCCTAAACAGTGTTTAGGCATTTTGACATATTTATTGAAAAACAAAAGGTTGCCCCTTCGCAAGCAACAGCACTGCGGTGCTTATGCGCAACAGACAAGGTGGGGGTCTAGGTTTATTGCAGGATACCCAGCTTATCGAGACACTCGCGCATTTCTCTCGTGAGAGGATTCCAGAGCGGTAATAGCGATACACCGTGGTTATACTTCTTACAGCTAACAATATAATTGTTCCAGCGTCGTTCATGCCAAAGCAGTTGGGTAAGTCCCTTACATAGATCTATTACCCATAAGTGAGCTAAAATATACAATCTTCCATTTAAAGGGCATATGGAGAGTTCGAAGCCACTGCCGACTGCTCCGACTTGACATCCGCCAGCTTTCTCAATAAGGCTGGCAAGAAGACTCCTATTCTCCTTCGAGTTTCCACTGTTGGACCAGAGTCAGGCTCTTCTGATACTTCACGGGATGTCCATGGCTGGGGGATGAAGCTTTATACTGATGAAGGAAACCTAGACTGGGTCTTTAACAACACCGTAAGCAAGTCACTAACACACACTAAGAAAATCCTGCTTATACAACATAAAGCCAGTATTTTTCATTCGGGATCCAATCAAGTTCCCCTCCATGAATCGTTCTCACAAGAGACACCCACAGACTCATCTTCCCGATGCAAACATGGTATGTGTCAATTCCTAACCTTGATACATACAAAAGGCTAACTAAAGCTTTAGTTTTGGGAGTAAGTGGAGCCATGAAACGTTTGGCGAAGTATTACTGATAAGGTCTAGCTTCCATGTGGGCAACCCGGAAGGAATCCACCAGCTCTTGGTTCTCTTTAGTGATCGTGGAACTCCTCGATCAGTCCGCTTTTTAAACTCCTACAGTGGACACACTTACAAGTTTACTAAGGAGGTAAGGAAACCATAACATATTATTGCATATAATTGGCTCACGCTTATAAACTAGGACGGTTCATTCAAATATGTTAAGATCCAGATGAAGACCCAACAGGGAGTCAAGAATTTTACCCGAGAAGAGGCAACTAGAATTGCCGGCGAGGACCCCGATTACATGATTCGAGATATGTTCGAGGCTATCGAAAGAAAAGACTACCCTTCGTGGGATGTTTTTGTCCAAGTCATGGATCCCTCCGAGGCTGAGCACTATCGGTGGAATATCTTTGATATGACCAAAGTCTGGCCACACAAGGACTTTCCGTTGAGGAAGATCGGCAAGATGACCCTAAATCGTAACGTTCGTTAACTGATACCCTTGGCTTGCTCGGGCAGACTGACCATTTTAGCCCGGAAATTATTTTGCCGATATTGAGCAGGCGGCCTTCTCTCCATCTACTATGGTACCTGGATTTGCCGCTTCCGCCGATCCCGGTTAGTCATATATCTAGAGAGTCATCTGCTACTTAAAAAGCTTACTCCCGTCTTATCTAGTCCTCCAAGCACGCTTATTCGCCTATCCTGACGCAGCTCGCTACCGCCTTGGCGTCAACTACCAGCAACTCCCAACTAATGCAGCTAAGGTCCCCGTATATTCTCCTTTTGAGAGAGATGGAAAAATGAGATTTGACGACAACTACGGCGGTGATCCAAACTACGTCAATTCCTCTCTCCAGCCGACCAAGTTCTACCCCGACGTCAAAGGAGTCAACCCTGAGTCGTTGAGCTTGCACACCGAGCACGAGAAGTGGGTTGGTGAAGTGACAACCTATAGCAGCCACATCAAGGACGAAGATTTTATCCAGCCTGCTGCTTTGTGGGATGTCATTGGCCGTGATCCGGGGCACCAGAATAGAGTCATTGACAACCTTGCTGGAAGTATCAGTGGGGTCAAATCGCCAAGGCTTCGTAATGAAGTATATGGTTCGTCCACTCTTTCGTTCAATATTGTGAAACTGATTTCACTGACCCATATGCAGCACTCTTTAGCAGAGTCGATCAGGATCTTGGGAGGAAGGTCAAGCAGGCGACCGAGGCAGCTATCAAAGACTGAAGTTTTTCATGAGAGTTCTCTGTATTTATCGAATCGAGTATTATTATTCAAATAGCTTCCTTTTATTCGATCAAATTTATAGCAACGTTACCACCTATCAACTCGCGCTCATAAGCGATTGGCACTGGTAAGCTTTCGTCGCCAAAATATAGTATACGAACACGACTTTCAGATAATCCAGATGATCACCCGTGTGAGTAGATATTTGACCGCAGACATGACATTCAAGTGTTTTTAAAAAAGATATCACTGGATTTGGATCACCAAAATCCCCATCATGGGGCGAAATACTAGGTAAAGCCGCATCAACCACTAAAATTATTGCATAACAGGCACGCGGAAAGGGGTATACATGTCACTGTTGATCACTGTAGAAGTGATAGGTTTTAGGACATCATGCGGGTTCTTTATAGTTCTATGGGCAATTTACATATACTTTGGAGTTTACATGCATCGCTTGGGATACTTATTAACCCCGGAAGCACCAGAGTTCGTTCGTAAATACCCCTAGCATGTTGTGATCAGTCTCACGCCTAAAGCACAAATCATATAGTTACAACATATGGAGTACACCAATGTTAAGGTTTGCAAGTATCTGAGGAATCCAATTGCTGCCAGTGTAAGATCGAGAATAAAAATATCCCTAGAAAATATTCCTAGCCACCTGCAGTACTTTGAATATACACTTTTTTCTATTTTTTCTATTTTTTTTTTTTTCTATTTTTTTTTCTTCAAATGAAAACAAAATGAGAATGATTGCTGCAACTCCACAATATAAGCTGATCCAAAATAGTCATGTTGACAGGAATTATTCATCGACATCCCGTGGGTCATGCTCTTTCCAATACTGCTCATATTCCTCCGGTGTCTGAGCCGAGACAATCTCATAGCGACTAAGAGGGGCCAAGGGGATCCCCTGCTGCTCATACTTATCCAAACGCTTTCTTGTAAGTTCCCGACTTTTGTTGATGCTATAGACCTTGATTCGATGAGCCGAAGACGTGACATGCAGACCCCAGTTCCATGCGGCGCGGACATTGAGTGGCTGTGTGTTGAGGGAATTATCCCAGCATCGACAAACAATCTCAATCCATCCTTCAACCTCACAAGGTAAATCGAATTCCCAGGTACGCCAGGTCCATTTTCCCTTTTTGGATAGACGCTCCGGTGGTACATCGTACCAGGTGAAACCGCCATCTGCGGATAATTCAACTCTTTCGGGCCATCGACCACCGCCGGAGTAGGCCCAGCCTTTGCATCTGATCTTTCCTGTGTGTATGACCGCTTGTTTTGTCCATGGGCTCATGATAGCTGAGCTGACTGGCATTTCCTGGATTTGGATGCCGTCTGTGGGCCGTAGGTTATACTTGCCAACTTGTTGATTAAAGTAGAGGTATTCCTTGCTCTGAACCGGGGCGGTTGATGGGTTCGCAATGGCCTTGATGCGGTAAAGCCATTTGACGCTGCGGGCTCCAATGTATCCTAGTACCACCACTCGCAATGGATACCCATGGATTTTGGGCAAAGGTTCACCGTTCATCTCCCAGGCCAGCATCACCTCATTGGCCTTTACCTTGGACCATGGGACACTAACAAGGTAATTGCCCACCTCAAGATCCTTGATGTAGGTCTCAGCACCGTAAAGTTCGAGATGCTTAGCTGGCTTGATGAGCCCCCCGCAGTCCTTAATCAGCTTCTTCAAGCTGATACCGACGTAACGAGCTGTCCCAATGGCACCCTCAGCCCACGGTGCCTGGGGAACTTCGTCTCCCTGGCCACCGTATAGGGAAATTTGCTCAATCCGACGAGTTCCCGAGCATTGGATAGTGGCTGTCTTCTCCATGCGTGGGAACTTGGTCTCATCCATGAGATCATGGAATTTATAAGTCTTTGGGTGATTCACCAACCCATCTAGTGACAGTTCCCACTTTTCTTTATCAATGATGGGAATGCCGCCGTGGTTTCGGACAAAGTGGAGGGGATTTGGTGTTATAGGCTTCGAGGTGACCAGCCTCTTAGGAGGCTCCCCATTGTAGGGAAACTGGAGGAGATGCAGCATATCTGCATGTTTCTCACGAAGAACGCATCTCCAGGAATCATCTGCAGTAGTGGCAAGTTCACCTCCGAGGGCAGTATGCCATGCCTTGAAATCATCGCCCGGAAGCACAGGATTTGTCCCTGGAATTGGACCGAAAATGAAATCAGGGCATGGGGCAAATGTCTGCGAAGTGAGGATCTTGCGCGCTTTGGCCTTTTTCTCAGGATAGTTTTCCCACTCGACATATCTATATTACAGCAATAACCATTAGCTTATTGGCCAGTAATCCTATATCATATGCAAGGGGCAGCAATACCCTTTCCAACCATTACGTTCGCAGGTGAAGAGCGTAGCCCGATCACCCACCGATGCGATCGCCTCTTCGTCCTTAGTCAATTTGGTCGGCGGCGGGGGGTGAAGGTGGACAGTTTCACTTTCGGATTGGTCAAGGATAGGTAGCTTGTGGCCTGCCAGGCCCTGTTCAATCATCCACTCATCAGGACGATTGGTAGTATCCAGTTCAGCTGGCAGCTCCATTATAGATAAAGATGAAAGGTCACTGTGTAATCAATTGTACCGTAGCTTCAGCGTAATAAACCGTTACAATAGATACAGGCACTCGTATGAGGTCAGGTAGCTTCTTATATGTCAGGCATGCGAGGATTCTATGGAAGTGGGAAATTCCGGCAGGCCCTAGCGGCACCCAGGAATTGTTCCCCGATACAGGGTTCAGAACGCATGCAGGAGAAGGCATGCAGTGACCCGGGAATGATGGCTGGGGATTGTAATGACCTCACGACTTTGAACGGACTTGTCGAGAATAGATATGTAAAGTCAAGCCAAGGATGCACTAAAAAAAAGAAATAAACCTTATCTCGGAATGATAAACAGAAATTGGCGTTAGCATAGTAAATCTGGCTATTTGGACAGCATGTGGATAACGTCCTAGCTCGTATCTTCACTCTAATAGAAACTCAATTTCTTGTCTATTTGTTATCGGTATGGAAACCGTTACTCGGAATAAAATACAGTGCCATTGGCAAAACCGTAGAGTCCTCCGTATCGAATAGGATTTCACCGCAAAGATGGCTCCCTCAAGCTACAGCTTTTTGCTTGACGGCGGACACTAAAGAAGGGTGACGCATCGCTTCTAGGTCGACCGATTTGTCAATCCGTTGGGACCGATACAGCCCTGGCTCCAGCTGTTGGGCAAATTTGCTTGAGCTTTGAGGAGTTCCGTAAAACCACACACATCATTGGACAATGTTCCCGTGCAGCGTGCAGGAATGTAGCGTAGCGTTGGCGTCCGATTGCAGGAAGAAACGGATGATGCGTTGGCTTTGCGCTCAGACCTCGCTAGTTCGAGGCATTTGAGGGGTGAAATTATTCACGTTTCTGTCAGTAAACCATCTCATCTTCCCCCGAGAAAAAGAGATATTTATTTGAATTATGGCCCAGCCACGACTGGCAAAGCGAACAGCATCCCTACTTCAGCTATCTCAGGACTTTCGCACTCAAGGCATTTTCGGAATTTCTGGATTAGGGAGACGGTGTCTAAGAATGCCACGTGAGGTAAATTACATACACCTATACCGTTCTATGACCCCTAGTCATCAAATAATCGTCCGCTTCTATAGATACCTCGGCATCAGCGATCCTTTGACGAACAAACCGTTAGGCCATTTTCCGACTTTCTCACGGACAAATTTCATCGTCAACATGATTATTTACGTATCAGCGTAACGGAACGGTGTAACTTGCGGTGTCTGTACTGCATGCCCGAGGAAGGCATAGACCTGTCACCACAGCCCCAGCTGTTGACCTCGCCTGAAATTGTTTACTTATCATCCCTCTTCGTCTCTCAGGGCGTGACAAAAATTCGTCTGACGGGCGGGGAGCCAACCGTACGGAAGGACATTGTCCCCTTGATGCAAGAAATCGGCAAGCTACGGCAAGACGGGCTACGAGAGCTTTGTCTCACCACAAACGGGATTTCACTACACCGAAAGCTAGACCAGATGGTAGAAGCGGGCCTAACAGGCGTGAATCTGAGCCTAGACACTCTGGATCCATTTCAATTCCAGATCATGACCCGACGGGGCGGATTTGAGGCAGTGATGAAGAGTATAGATCGTATTCTGGAGATGAATCAGGTCGGCGCTGGTATCAAGCTAAAGATCAACTGTGTTGTGATGCGCGGCTTGAACGATTGCGAGATTATCCCATTTGTCGAGCTATGTCGCTTGAAGCCTATCGAGGTACGCTTTATCGAGTATATGCCATTCGATGGGAATAAGTGGAATAAAGGCAAGATGTTCTCGTACCAGGAGATGCTGGCGGTGATCCGAGAGAAATATCCGACGTTAGTGAAGCTCGATGATCATAAAAATGATACTAGCAAGACATATCAAGTACCTGGATTTAAAGGTCATATCGGGTTCATTACGAGCATGACGCACAATTTCTGCGGCACCTGCAATCGGCTCCGAATCACGAGTGACGGCAATTTGAAAGTATGTCTTTTTGGCAATTCGGAGGTTTCGCTGCGAGATATCATCCGACAGAAGAATCATGGGCAGCCTATCGACGAGGAAGCCTTGAAAAGACTAGGTCTCCTAGATAATATACAGACCGCTTCCCGTCGTGGTGACAATAGGGGCCTGACCAGTGAGCAAGAACTTGAGATCCTGGATATCATCGGGATGGCGGTGAAGCGCAAGAAGGCAAAACATGCCGGCATGGATGAGCTGAAGAACATGAAGAACCGTCCGATGATTCTCATTGGCGGGTAATCATGCTTTATCTTGTTATAATTAAAATTGTCGTTTGATTCCATGCATCCGGATGGAAAATACCAATTCACATTCGGGATATTTGGCTTTACGTACTTCTAAAATAGTGTTTCGGGTGTGATCTTCTAGGATGCACGCTGGTAGCCGAATATATAGTATACAGGTCCCATCACAGCCATTGAACAGCTCCCGGGCAGACCGACGCTATACTTTCTCTCCCTAGTCAAGAATTTTGAGGGCGTGCGGCTAATAGAGAAGCAACGGGGCAAGAGCGATCATTGGGTACGTGAGAAGACGATAGATTAGAACGTAACTAATCATGTCCAGGGCTGCACCACACGCCGGCCTATCTATACCGGCTAAAAAGGTTGAAATCTTCATTGATGTATGTGTTGGAAATAATACAGCCATTTTACCACTAGACCCTAACAAAATCCAAGGTTCCTGTTTATGGCCTAGGGAGGCCATATCCCAGTCTGACAGTATATTCCATTGTTATTTTCCCCCTCGGTTTCTATGGCGTTAAATTCTCAGGGAGAATAAACAAAAAAATACCTGAGAATGGTACGGACCTGTATTTTGCGTCCCTCTCCTTTCCCTAGGTGAGTATGGTCTTTTAAATCCATATTAGAGTATCATTTGAACTTTACTTTCCTTACATGAATGTCCCGTCAAACCAATGTATCATGTCCTTAATTGACCTGGAGATGATATACCCCGGTGACCAAAAGAATGGAATGATTCGTTGGCTAGGGCAGAACCATGGAACGAATCAACCCAGATTTAGAATTACGGAGACCCTTGAAAGTGGTAGCGGCCGCCTGAACCCAATTATCCAATTCTACAGGAAACTGAAGGGGGTTGCATGAACCTTGAAAGGATAACCTGCCAATTATCACCAATTTCACAGACAAGGGCGGGGTATACAGGATACCTACCATTTACTCAGGTCAACACCCACTCTGGGTCTTATGTAGCTAGATCGTAGTATGACTTATTTCGGGACCGAGCGTGAGTGGGGTGATCTTTTTTCGGTCCCTCATCTTTATTCGCTCCTGCTAACGCATGAATAGTCTAGTCTTGTCTTTCATTAAACATCTCGTGTTCTTCTACGATCAGACGCAAACTAGACTGGGGGTGTACCTTGGTATATCTTTCCCATCCGCGGTATCCGACGCCTGATTTTACCTGTCCTCTAGATGGTGATATCATCTCGTGAGGAAACCCCAAAAACCTTTACCCCCAAATTTATTCTCTTGTGCATAGACCCTTTGAAGCTAAAGTATCCGTAGCCATCGGACTGTTAGTGAACCGTATCGAGCGGGGGTGTAGAGTTCTCCGCACGACGTAGGTTATTGATAAAGCTCGGTAAGCCCACTACGATTGCTATACATCTTTGAGCCGTCGCTACTGAGGGCAAACCCTTTCAATCATGTCTGTCCTCCTCACACTCTTCGTGGTGGCTTCTCTGCCTCTGGTAGATTTTACCAACGCAGAAAGGGTCCTTGGGGCTTATGTCTTCCAGCGCCATGGGGACCGTACAGCTAAATCCTGGTCACCCTCTAAATTGACCAACTTGGGTTACAGTCAAGAGTATATGACTGGTACCCTTTTCCATGACCGTTATATCTCGTCAGACTCCTCCTATCAAATCGAAGGGATCAGTACCGACATAGTCAACTTGGCCCAAGTTACTGCGAGTGCTCCGCAAGACGATGTTATCGAAAATTCAGGAGAGGGGTTCCTGCAAGGCCTCTACCCCCCTATCGGCTCTCTCGCCTCGGAGACTCTGCGCAACGGATCAACAGTTCAATCCCCAATGAACGGCTATCAGCTGATCCCGATGTCAGACGTACCCTCCGGTACCGGGAGTGAGGACAACACGTGGCTCCAGGGCACAACTTCCTGCAACAATGCGAAAGTTAGTAGCGACAATTACTTCTCTTCAAACTCCTTCAAGAGCCTTTTATCGTCCACCGGCGAGTTCTACCAGTCTCTTGAGCCGCTAGTCAACGAGACATTCAGCTTGACTGAGCTGAGCTACAAGAATGGATACATCATATGGGATTTACTCCATGTGGCTTTGATTCACAATTCCACCACGACCTTCCCCTCATCTAGCCTTCTCAATGATCAGGTAATGCAAAAACTTTTTGTTCTCGCCAGCGAACACGAGTTCAACCTAGCATACAATAGTTCGGATCAGATCCGTGCTGTTGCTGGTATGACCCTTGCTGGCGAAGTTCTTGCAGCTTTGAATGAAACAATTACGTCTAGCGGCAAGTCGAAACTGAACATCCAGTTCGGCGCTTATGCCTCTTTCTTGTCTTATTTCGGCCTGGCCGGGCTGGACAAGGCAGATGAGAACTTCACTGGTATACCAGACTACGCTTCGTCCATGGCATGGGAGCTTGTGACAAACAATACTAGCGCAGGGATGCCATCCACATCAGATATTAGTGTTCGTTTCATGTTTCGTAATGGAACTAGCGTCCAGGACTCGACGCATCTAAAAGCTTATCCACTTTTCGGACAACCGATGCTCGAGCTCCCTTGGGCAGAGTTCGTTGACAAGTCAAATGAGTTTGCCATTTCATCGCAGCAACAATGGTGTCAGGCCTGTGGAAATACAACTGGAATCTGTAGCTCAACTTCCAATGACGCCGGTGGGGATGGTTCATCCTCCAGTTCATCGTCTGGGCCTTCTTCGGGCAAAGGGATGAGTTTAGAAGTTGCAGGTGTCATAGGTGCGATGGTGACCTTGGGTGTTCTTATGGGGCTGTTGGTACTCGGCATATTCATCTTTGGTCTACGGCTCGTACCCAAGAGTGCGCTTGCCAATGTTCGTCGGGGATCGGACACGTCTATTACATCAGCGATGAAGACGACAGCATGAAAGGTTCCGATGGGAACGGGACTATGAGTAGGATGATATATCCTTGTACTTAGCCTTTACTCTTCATGCGGAAGCCCATCTTCGTTACTCTATGGGTATTTTGAACATCACACTCTCCGGTAATAAACGCGTTTATTCGTGTTGCGATAAGCACTTGATTCGACAACAACCCCTACTCTTACACCTGAGCTAAAAAGTTCTAGGGGATGCTTGGTACTTGAAGACATATGATGATTGGGGTATAATACCCGGTTTCAACCATGTATCTTAGCATTCGACATATAACCTCTTTTTTTGGCGGCTTCTCAGCCTCCCTGACTGGTCACTGCATATTGAATACTGGGCCAAACTGAAGAAGTGCAGATAATAAGGAGCCAAATGTAGTAAAATAGACAGACAGTCTCATCCAATGATTCTACCAATGTGGCAACAAAGCTCAGTATGGAGCGCTGTAAGACCTATAACAAGAGATATTCCGACATACCATACATAAGTGTATACAGGTTAGTTATCGATGCCAATAACACTCATCCTCGCTTCCAGGGCGTTCAAGGAATTCTAAATATGCTAGTATATCGGTGAACACCCTTCCGCATCAGCCTACTGTTGCTCAAAATCAAACACCAAAAAGGTCCATTCCCCCACTATATCGCGCCGCTCTATGTCCAGAAAAAAGGGGATCCACACCCGTGCCGACCTTGCCAGGTAAAGAAGTCAAAGTCAAAATTCTCTGGCGAACGCCCAAATTGCCAGCGATGTGGTACGCTGCGGATAAATTGTTGGTGTAGCCAAAGGGAGCACGAACGCACAGAAAGGTGAAACTAGTCTTCGGTTAGATCTGGTATGGCAATGTTATCGACTCATAACAGAGAGCTTGAACAACTAACTACGGAAGCACTTGGTTATAAACTTTCGCTGCAACAAATATACCCTGGAGTCAATGCCGACGACTCCAAATTAATCACGAGCGTACTGGCAAAGCATGCAAGTCCAGTGGACATATTCGACAATAATCACGAAATGCATCTACGTCTAGCTCAAATCCGCCTTCAGATATGCCCCGTAGCAGCTGTGGTATCGTAATGTTGCACTGAGGGAAGTCATTGCATAGAAAGTTTTCTCTTCTTATGACATCCGCCCGCTACTCAAATCACATGTGACTTTTCTTATCTTTCATGTTAGTCTGACAAAGCCGGAATTACTATATCCCTGGGTTATCTAAGCCATGCAAACAGAAATAGCTGTTGCGTCATCGTCACATTGGTTGTGGCGAATAAATACGGAAATCCTATCGTAATCCTGGACATGATCTCCCAGAGCCCACATGGACAAACTCTCAGAATGGAATCAAAAAGCAAGGAATCATATACCGAAGTGAGAATGATCTAAAATCTATCTCTCGCAGAAGCGTTAATAATATTCCCTCAGCCACCCTCTGAAAGTGAGAAACATCACTTTAGCCCGTATGAAAAGCGGCCACATGGAGATTTACTTGGGCAGCAATCCAAGGTATTTTTAATTCAATTTAACTGAGTGAGTTCCAATTGACAATCGGGAGGATCGGACATACTTTGACTCCGGTGATCTCGCTCTTTCAGCGGCCCACCAAGTAACAAACAACGGCGCTATTCAAACAGGCAAAGCGCATCCCCATCGCGAGAGCATCTCGAGCCCGTATTCCCCGGTCCCAAGCACCAGTAATGTTGACAAGGATGCCAACGAGGGCTTGCATAGGAAGATGGCAAGTCTAGAAAAGAAAGGTCCTCTATATCAGCACACTGATATTGAATATGAAGCCCCTACAAACAAAGGGGAACAGGGTAAGTGATTAAATAAGGATGCAACCAGGTTTTTAAGTAACGTTCATGGGGAAGCGAACAAAGGATTCCAGGTTATCAGTCTCGTAGATCAGGAAAAGCGCGCGAGCTAATACAAAAAGTTGAGGAGACAGCAAAAGTTGCGAAGATTGATGTAATGAATTATCTCGCGTTTGCAGTAATGGTCACCAGGCGATTTCTGCGAGAGAAAATGCCACTATTCCTAGATATTTTTATGATCGAGCAATTAAACACTGTTTTATACTCAAAAGGAGTTGGCTATTTTATTCGCGTGATCCGGGTCAAAACGCATTTCAAAGTGGCTAGGTCGCCAACATCTATAACTGTCAATACAAGAGAGCACAGAGGTTCTGCGATATTGGAACCAGATGTAGTTGTGGATTGTGAATACGTCATAACTCCTACATGTGAGTTTAGAACATGTGTCAGAATGGAATAAGGCCCCCCTAGGCCATTAAAGGAACCTTGGGTTTTGTTGTGGTCTAAGCCTGTAATTTGTCCAACAGCACTGATGACATGACCAGAAATTTATTAAAACAAATGCCTTCCAGGCTGCTGTTCAAAATGAACACATAACACAAAATGGCTCGTCAGCTTCAAACCGTTCAAGCCCAACATCGGGTGCCTGACAGAGGCGATGCATGGATTCTTGGGAGTAGTGTAGCATCATTGGCATCGGCTATTCATTTAATATGTGATGCAAATGTGCCCGCATCCCAGATCCATATCCTCGAGTCTCGCAACACACCTGGAGATGGCATAATCAGTACCGGTGATCCACTGAACGGATATGACCATCGACCTGGATGCATGCCGAGTTTCAACGACACTTGCATGGAAAGACTGTTGGCTTTGGTGCCTTCCACTATTGGCCCTGGAAGAACAGTCTTGGAGGATATGAAGGAGCTGTGTATACATGATCATGATGAAGATGTTCCTTGCACGCATATCTTGATCCAAGGGGACCATGGACCAGTGAAATTGGATACTAGGAAACGCCTCGACCTAAAAAACCGGATGGATCTGATGGTCCTCATCTCAAAATCAGAGAAAAGTCTGGCTAGGAAACGAATCAGTGACTTCTTCAGAGAGTCCTTTTTTGGAAGCAGTTTCTGGATTACTTTATCTACCATGTGGGTTGCCCCTCCCAAAGAGACAGATTGGACCAACAGTTGAAATGGAATAATAGATTTGGCTTCCAACCTTGGCATAGTGCCGCTGAATTCCGTCGGTGCCTGGGCAGATACTCGAGCGAAGTTCGGAATCTAAACACCAACAAACCTCTGGATTGTACTAAGTATAATCAATTCGAATCCATTATAACGCCGATGATCGTTTTTCTTAAAAATCAAGGAGTGGAATTTCGACTCAATACAAGGGTCAAGGATATAGCGACACGTCTTGACAGCGGGACGGTTTCGATTTCGGCAATTCGCACGCTCCGGGATCGCGCGGAGGAAACAATAGCAGTCTCTCCCAAAGATATAGTTATTATATCTCTCGGATCCACTACATCGGGGTCGTCGAGTGGTACCAACAATGACCCGCCGTCAATGACAACTATGGAAGCAGAAAACGAGCTGGATGAAAACTGGTCGATATGGCTAGACTTGGCAACGCAAAATCCGAGTTTCGGCGATCCGTATAATTTCTGCACTCGCACCCCTGAGTCCAGGCTGGAATCCTTTACTGTGACACTTAAAGATCCCGAATTTTTTACCCGCTTCATCAACTTGACCCATGACAGACCTGGCCTAGGGACGTTCGTGTCTCTGAAAGACAGCAATTGGATGATCAGCATTTGTATCCCTCGCCAACCTTTTTTCTCTTCTCAACCCGAAAATATAACAGTCTTCTGGGGCTATGGTCTTCGTCCAGGCCACGAAGGTAACTTTGTGAGGAAACCAATGCTTTATTGCTCCGGACAGGAAATAATGACCGAGCTGCTATTGCTACTCGGCTTTCCTTCAGCCTCAATTCTCGGAAACTCTATCACGATTCCGTGCGTGATGCCGCGCAGGACTGCGTCGATGTTGCCTCGGACTTATCAAGATCGTCCAAATGTGATACCGGACGGAACGGCCAACCTTGCTGTGATTGGCCAATTTGTGGATATACCAGATGAGACGACTGTGAGTCTAGATTATAGCGTGCGAGGAGCCCAGTTGGCAGTGGGTCGACTGATGGGGTTTTGTAAGGAGCCGGTGAACACAAAGATACTCCCTAGCTCCTTCTCCAGGTTCTGGAACTTGCTATCGACTTAGCTGGCTTTGCTGTGGAATGTGTCCTGAAAAGTCTATAATTCAAATGCGACAGCGATTCTTTGGCCCTGATATGTCTATGTGAAGCGTTCTTGGGGGATTTAGCAAGGAGAGGAAACCCAAGGTCGTTGCCAATTCAGTCTTAATGGGCGGGCCGATCAAAAGCTATCACAGTTCCGCCATTGATGTGACCATCTATCCCGGTGCGAACATGTACTTGTTTGGAGAGTTGCCTGATAATATCTAGGCGCTGAATCAGTAAAGCGCTTTATTGTTTCCGAATTTGGCTGGCTCGGGTGATTAGAGGGTTTAGGAGACTAACAATTAGCGGGAGAGACCAGCATGAGAAGCCTGGAGATCATGAGTAGACTAGGTATAACTCCCGACTAAGAATATATTTAGTCCTAAATACCCGTATATTATTATCAAAACAGTCTATACTAAGCTATTCCTATAGGCGTATAGGGGGACTAAGTTTCGAGAATTAAATAATAGGCCATGCTAAACCCCCATAGGACCCGTAAAATTTCAGTCCCATATCTTAGTCCTATCTACTCCTATAGGGCTAAAAAGAACGTCTGGTATTATTACCCTAGTAGGCCTACACTAGTATAATTGTTTTTGCTTCGAAGTTATATATTATTTTTTACTACTGTTTCGTTCATTCCGAAAGCCCCTCTTGTCCTCCTACTCTTCAGCCTCCTCGGCCCATTCACCTTGCCCTAAACACCACTATTTTACACAGAATCTCCTACATGCCCCTGAACCATTAACGTATCCTTCCTCTTGTGTACTGAGCTCCTCTCAAAGGCGTTTTTGGCTCACAAATCTTTAGTACTAGTTTCTACCGGTTGACATGCCCGTGCTTACCCTTTGTGGCCCGAAATCAGTGGTTATGCTTAATTGTCTACGATCACAAGACTCCAACAATTTTGATAATGGTAGGATTTGATTATTTTTTTCTTTGTGCGGGAGTATGAATGGGCAGGAGTACTAGGGTGTACCCAAAATAGACGTGACTTCATTCGGGATAATCAAATAATGATACCACTTTCACCGTTCCTTAAACACAGCAGGTTCCAATAGACAGATTTCATGCTCTATTACCCACGCGAGTCAATCACCACTGGTCAGGATCTGCATCGGCAAACACAGTCCCAGCGGCAATCTCATCATACCAAACTGATCTAGTGCCCTGAGTGCCTTTCATCCCCTTATCATCATGCCACCCATTAGCATAAAGGCCCACGCGGAACTGGAAAGCCCGATCATCATCAATGGTAGTCGCAATCTCCCTCTTATCCAACAGCTTATTTCCATCCAACCACAGTTTGTATTGACCAGTGCCATCCGACTTCCAAGTAGCCTGGATCTCGACCTTATGCCAGACGCCGGCACTGATAGTTGCCAGGCTGGGGAAAGTCACAGTCTTCTGCGAGCAGATACTACCCTGCTTAACACGCGTGTAGAGCTGGTCACCGACAAGCCAGACCATGCTAGAGGGCATGTAATCGTCGCAGCCGGTATCGCTGAAGTCGGCGATGAATTGGGCGATGTTGTATGATTGGGCTGGGGAGAATTGCCAGTTTTCTTGTAGGCGGAAGGCGAAGCCGTAGAAGCCTGTGTCGCCCCGTTTGTAGACGTTGTTTTTGACCACTTCCGAGTGGTACCGGCCTGTGTAGCTGGAGTCGTAGATTTGGGTCATCTTTAGGGCGGTTGGGCCTTGGTAGACTACGTTCGTCACTTGTTGCACGGTGCCGGAGTGTTCTTTGTTGGTGGAGTCCCAGCCGGAGGTTGTGCCTGTGTTGCTGAAGATTTGGGTGGCCTGGGCTGTTAGGCTGAGTGCTAGCAGCGCTGCTGAGGGGAGTTTGCCGAACATTTTGGTAGAAGACGGAGGGTTGATTGTTGTGGTAGACTAATTTGTAGCAGATTTGATAGGCTTTATAAACGGATTGGACTTTCGGGGACTCCCTCTGTAAGCAATAAATTAAGCAAAACATGCCGATGTGCTAGTGAGGTTCATTGGACCGGTGTTAATGATGTTTGAGATGTTCGTAAGCTTTCCCTAAAATGGAATTCAGCTGGACTAGCCATTATTTCGGGTTCATGCTACTACCGCAAGTTTTTTCCATGGTAGGTAGTAGTTAAGTGGCAGATGAGTGTTATTGGGGTAGAGTAACGGGATTGAGCTGCAGTTCTGAGACTCCAACCCGCAATCCTGCAGATTATGCAAGGCAGTTGGGCTGTTGATTGGTCAGCCCCCACAGGGTTACATTTCCAGTGCAAAAGCTGACAAAAGTGAGCTGACGTGCAACTTTTATAGGAAAGTGCTGTGGGTTACAAGTGTCAAAGTAGATGAAAGGGGTAGACATGGCCTAGCGAGACTTGGCTTTACTTCAGACACGAGCTGTTTTTCTTCGGGAGCTTCACCTCAGGTCAATTCTTGGTGAATGAATCTCTTGATTTGAATGTCTAACTAGTTACATAGTATACAGAACTTACATCTCGATCAAGCAGTTGCTTATGACACCTAGCGTCTGCCGGGTAGCGTGGGTTAAAGCTGTAATCCGAGTATGATCAAAGGCATCGGCCAACGCCCCACGATCGAGCAGTAACTGCACCATAAGCTTTAACTCTTCATCAGCCCCCCCCCCCCAAAGGTTGCTGCTTTGACTAATAAAGACGACATCTTCCCATCCTCATCACAGTACATCACATTAACATCGAACCCTTTGTCAAGAAATAGCCTGACCACCCCGGCCTCAATCTTCTTTATAACCGTGGGATATTTGAACCTTGAAATTCATCCGACCAATTGGAATCTTCAAACGCTAGACAGGGTAGTAAGATGTAAGAATCATTCCTCTGTCATCTCAGATCTTTTTCTACTTCAACTTTTAGTTCTCTCACCAACAAGGGATTGTGTTCCTCTCATACCAAACTTTCTATTTGCCTCGAATATGGCATTTTTGAGTCGCTCTGTTCTGGGACCTCCAGTAGTTCTTTGCGTGTGTGATGATCTTAAGGCTCTTTTCGTGTGTGATGATCGTCAGGCTCTGACCTACGGATATGTCCTGGCTCGAATAGACCGGTCTATAATGACCGATCTACTACTCGCTGACCAAGCTCTACGTGAACATACGCAACACGAGGAAGCCTTACAAAAGGCTACAGCTATCATGTCTGACAACACTCAGCTTCAAGAAGTGAAGAGGCAACTTGAAGAAGTGAAATCCGAATATCCCAGAAAAGAGTACGCCCTTTACCGAGCAGAGTCTATGCTTGGACCAAGTATCAAAAATTTTTATGATACAGTGAGGCGGAACACTACATGGTTTATGCGCGAGGAAATAGTCCGGGATTGTTCGGACCGAGGCGGATGTTGTAGCCGGCAATGTGGATGCTGCGTACAAAGGCATCTATCCGAAAGACAGAAAGGCAGAGGTCACTGTACTTTGGAATGCTGGTGTTTTATCCGCTTTCGGGGATTCGATCTTCCACAGGAACAAAAGGAGGAGATCCGAAAGGATTTAGGAGATCGCCTTTCATATAGCACTTCACAATATCTCCAAGATTTGGCTACTTGGTTTGTTTGCCCTGTAAGGCGCCAGAGATCCAAGTGGCAGCTGATCTTTGGGCTAGGCTAAAGTGAGGATAAGGCGCTATGAAGGTCCTGCTTTACCTTGAGAAAGCTTGCTGAACTGGTGCAATATCTTTTTCTCGGGACTGCTAGCTAATGTTTGTATGCTCAGTTATAGATGACCAGTCTGTTTCTCATAAATTATTTTTTTCTTCTGCCTCCTATAGTAGTCAGGTACGAGATCTAAATGAGGTCGGCTTTAAATAAGAAATCCCCTTTGTTATATCAAATAGCCGGCATAACATCCTAAGTCAATCTCATATTGATTGGCTAATATAGAGCCTCGCCTTATTGTTGAATGTATCCATGGTTCAATCGTGGTGTGCCCAGACGATCGTATCAGAACAGTCTTAATTTGTCATGTTGATCTTTTAAATACAAATACCTGTAGGTATTGGGCGTATTGGGACCGATATTTTGAACATACACCAATCGCTACCTACTTATGGACTTAACGTCTGTGAAGGCTGACTATCATTCGAAGGATCTACTAATTTAGACCAAACTGAGTTCATATAACGTTGCACAACTTCAACTCAATCAAATATGATTTGAAGGGACGAGTGTTTCTTCCCGTAGAGATGAATATAGAATGTATCCGGACGGATGACTGGGTAGCTCCTGCTCTCCCATAGTTAGCTTGTTTGCTCTCTCCTTTCTCTATCCTCTTCCTCTCTTTGTGCACGTTTTTTCCTCCCTTTAAGGCCTCTTGTCCCCGAAACTTCCCGTGGTCACCAGCGTAACCGCTCATCGCAATCATCTATGGAAATTCGGGTCCTCACTCACCTTGAGCAGGCCGAAAGCGGCCTAGCGGCTACAGAACGTTTGGAACGCTATGTTCGACAGATGCAGGCAGAGGTCGGCCTCCACGATTCCCGAAATGCCGCCATCCACAACGCAATAGAGGCAGACAACTATGCCGAGCTTGTCGTCCCTGCTCGAGCATTCATCCCAACCACCACGGCCGACAACCACCAGGCCCAATTCGATCGCATCCTTACAATGATCAACAATGTCAAGGAGCAGTTCGTCATCCAACGAACTTGATTCGGTCCAAAGGGGTTTTCTTCTAGCTTTTTTACTTTTTCGTTTTTTTTCTTCTTTCCTTTCCTGCTGGGAAAGCAGCGTGCGGGGCACTGGTGATCCCCTCCGTTGGAGGGGTTCTCCAATTTCTATAGATCTTGCATCCATACGCAGCCAGTAAACAGTGATGGTTTCAATTTTCAGTTTGAATCAACATAATATCTCTTTGCGGTTGAAAGATCAATAAGAATAAATTGAGAGTACGCCGATGAAATATTAATCTGTACTAATTGAACTATGGATGAGACTGTTGATTTTGTAGACGGAGGATCGGAGTACTAACCAATAATCATGAACTGATCTCTAGTTGATTGATCTTCGCTGTTTCACCACCATTTCACTATGATTGACCTGCTTTTTGGAAGCCGAGCTTATTTGAACCTCACTGGGTTTTTTTCTTCTTCCTCAATCTTAAGATAGGGGTTAGCTAGTCAAGAAGCGGTTCTCTTTGGAGCATTTGCACATATGTGCCGTACGCGTTTCAAGAAGCAGCCAGTTATGAACAAAGCAACATGCCTGTAAGCAAAAACCAGTACGAGGGGAAAGGACACATTAGCGGTTCAGGGGCGTCCAGGATGTTCAGGTATAGAATAGTGGTATTCTGGGCATTCAGATGAATGGACTAAAGAGACTAGAGAGTGGGGCGGCAAAAGGGACTTTCCAATTGAATCAGAAGAATAAATTAAAAAAATAAAAACATACAACAGTGAGGATTCGCTGGTGGTCACCCACCCAACTACTAACTCACCGGCGTGTGGCTTAAGTACGGCTGAGCGGACGGGAAGCCCTGTTTTCCACACCCTATGGTCGTATGTATTATGTGACGTGTGGGAGAGGACTATAGAACGTGCAGTTCACGTTTATTCCTTCTTGGCGGCGAGGTTGTCGCGCGCCCTCTGCATGAGGGTCAACACGTTTTCGGCATTCTTTCTGTCAAGGAACTCCAGGCTGTATTTGATCTTGTCGCCAGTCTCATTCAGCTCGAAGACAAAGATGTACTCTCCGTAGAATGTCCAGTCAATCGACTCGTCGTTACCCTTGACTTCACCCGGGAATGCAGCAGTGGTGCTCATGTAAACCGTCACGACATTGCCCTCGTTCACCCATATCTTCTTATAGTCATCCTTGAAGTAGATGCGGCTCTCCTGGATAGGTGTAATGAGAGATGGCCTTGTCTCGTTGGTTTTCCTGTGCTTGACACCGTGGAGGGCTGGAGTACTTTCGTGGATACAGTCTGGGGCACGGGTAGCAAGATTCCCTCGGATGTCGAGCTGCTCAAGAGTGTTGACGAAAGGCAGAGTTGTTCTTTGGCGGAAGACATGTTCGCGATCGGTGGTGAATGCGAGGATGTTTGAAAGATTGACATTGGAGACCGTCACACGCACCGTCTATATATATATAATATTTCGGTTGACAAGAGGTTGCTAGAATATCGTATAGACGGACGTAATCCAGGTGCTAGCCTTCCGGCCTTCCGTAAACGCCGAATCAAAAAGTGAACGGTCATTGTTGTCCAGTCCACCCACGCATCGGTAGAAAGTATCTGCGACTGCCTCTCGTGGTGTAATGCCGGGAAGAGAGTTCCAGAGCGTCATAGTGAATGTTTTTGTTGGAGGCTGATTTGTTGTGTTTTCTTTTTGACAAAGTGAGGTTTATAAGTAATTTTCTATCCCGTATTTGCACATGCGAAAAGGAACCGGAGATCGATAGTCATTTATAGCATGCGATACCTATCCCATTCCAAGGACGGGCCAATACTTGGTGCTCCGCAGCACCTTAGGTCTGAGATTATCCTTACCCGATACCTGCGGGCACTGGCACGACTTAGGAGACTGAACTAATTGCAATGTCCATTTCGTTCGCTCCGATTGAATTTTATGTGAATCTTTACTTGTCCATCCCATATGGTTGGTCGGCGGAATCCGATCCCCTTAGTGTCAAGGTCCACTTGCCACTTTATCAGTGAAGGCTGCTTAAATTCATGAACATGAACTACTTTCAGTCTTTAATTCCTATAGCTCCGTTCGGAGACTTAAGTCCACTCGTATTACCGGTTTGATGCATGCCTTCAGTAACATACTTAAGGATGCTTAGGTCATGTTCAACAAAACAGCGTCAGATCTATGTAGCCAGGTGGTAGAAGGATGCTTTTGCTTTGCCACTTAACCAATCACTAGGGAGTTTGTTGTTTATCTGGTCAGACAAAGACTTCAAAAATTCGTGCCACTCAGTTTGCACTTTGTGAGCAGCTGCAACTTTTATGCTTATAAATGGGCACGACGCACAATGTATTTACCTCATGAAGGCAAATTTTCTCGAATTCCGCAAATATGACTATGTAATACTTATTCTACGTCTGAGCGGGCCAGAAGCCCTGCTTTCCACGCCCTGTGGTCGTATGTATCAGGTTACGAGTAGGGATAATCATATAAATCGCTATATAGGTGGAAAGCCTAATTCAAACGAAAGAAGTAGGAAATGCACGAACGATTACCTAAGAGGTATCTATTCTCCCGAAAATAGGTCCATTACCCCTATCAGCTCATCCCATTTCGGATCATTCTGAATAGCAATTTTCCCTTCCCCGGTCATGACCTTATATTGTTCCGGAGAAGAAGTACCATAAGAGTAGCCATCTATACCGTGGATAAAGGCACAGAGATCGTGTATCCATGCTGACATCAGTTCCCGCTCCTCAGTAGTCGGGCTGTGTGTAAGTGAGTAGCTGAGCAGTGGATGTTAGCAACATAAACTATGCAACAGGACATAAAATTTATAACATACTTCCAAATAGGCCGGTCCATAGCGTGGGTCACCCCAAACGAAGCTGGGGCAATCTTCTCCGTTATGAACGATAGTCGGTACGCAATCATGTAGCGCCATATATTTTCCATATCGACGCCATTGTCCGCGAGGGTCTTGACAAGGTGTCGTGATGGAGCTCTAACCTGACCATCGGAGACGATCTTTCCGAACAGATCAGCCCAGTCCTGCTTGTTGTCTGACTTTGGGAGTTGATAATGTTGAAGCAGGCGTTTTGTTGTCGAAATGGGGTAGTAATTTGCGACTTGCTGCTGGAGGGATTCCCAATTTGCGTCTGGGCAATTTGTGGCCGCGTATAATGTCTCCTCGTTGAGAACCTCGCCAATGAAAATGCGCAGGTCGCGTCGCTTGAACTCTCGTGCAAATGAGCCATCTTGGTAGTAATTAAATATTCCGGGTTTAATAAACAAGTCGTCTGTGACTGGACGAAAAGTGTGGTTTCCGAGGTTCATAATTCCAGCGCAAAGGTCTCTGGCACTTATTCCGCGCAGGAATCGAAGCTTTTCGACTCCGCTTAATGAGGATGGCGCGTCAAAGTATGTGCATAGCTCTTCAAATTGGGCTTCACATTCCTGGGGCGTTTTTGGTTGTGTCGGAATCGCATTAGAGTACATGACCATCGATCGAAAATGATCACTCCCAGCAGAGCGAAAATCGTACAGGGCCTGAGCGAGAACCGAGTAGGCACCTGCGCTACGCCCGGCCAAGTGAATATTGGTCGAGTCTCCTCCAAAGGCATCGATGTGCTTATGAACCCAATCAAGCGCGAGACGCTGATCCCAAAGTCCGTAATTGCCTGTTGATGTACCCTCGGACTCTTCGAGGAGAGAATGGCAGGCCAAAAACCCAAAGACGTTGAGCCGGTATCCCACTGCAACAAAAACAGTCTGGAGCTTGCCAGTTGAGATCAACTCCGTTGGGTCCATGCTGGCTTCCTGACTGGGATCCCCGACCTGGAACCATCCACCGTGGAACCAGATCATGACCGGCCATTTTTTCTTTGGATTTTGGAGATCAGGGACAGGAGTCCAAATATTCAACCGAAGGCAGTCCTCATCATAGACATGCTTGGGAGTATGCTCGCTCACTACCTTCGAATAATTTGGCTGGGGGCAAATGGGCCCAAATTCTGTAGCGTCGTATGGGGTAGCTCCAGCGGACATGTACTTGTAGGTGTCAGGAAGAAGCTGGGGCTTCCGCCATCGCAGGTCTCCAGTGGGAGGTTGCGCATAAGGAACGCCTGCAAATCTACGTGACTTGTTATCGAACTGCAGACCCTTTATACGTCCCCGGTCGGGGAGGTCCACTTCACAACCTGTGGCTGTGTAAGAGATGGTATTTCCCATGGTCGGAGCTTCAGGTGAGGATTATGAGAGAAAGAAACCTGCGAGGGGTGTGAGCTTCGGTCCAAGAGGAAAACGTAACTTATCAAGGAGTTAGGGTTAATAAATGGAAGATAACTGTGATTGGTTAAAATAATCGACGTCGGGAGGAGATAAAGACGAGACTACTCCGGACTTGGTCTCACCACGACCCACATAAACTCGGTCGTTGCGGGGTGACCAGAGGATATGCAAGTCCGAAATCGGGGTTCATGAGGAAGAGAACCCACACACGATTGGGATTTGTGGCGATGTCTATTATGCACTCTCCCTTCCTCTCTTCACTTGAAATGGAAACCAGTGCAAATGCCCGTCGGCGTCGAACGGAGCGTGGACCCCGATCCAAGAGTGGTAAGTACAAGTGCTGATACCCACAGCGAACCCAGCTGATACCAGATGGCCTAGGCTGCCGAACGTGCATTAGCAAAAAAGTAAAATGTGACGAACAACATCCATTATGCCGCCGCTGTGTTCGCCTTCGGCTGCAGTGTGAATGGCCTGGTTATCAGCCTTCCATGTCAACCAGAAGACGGGGCCTCGGTCCTATCAAAAGCCGAGATGCTTGGGATCCTCCACCTATTCTTCCCATACCGCAGAGCCAAGCTGAACCAGTGGACCTAGACAACCTTTCCGGGATCGAGGAAATCAGTGACTCCATAATTGAGTCACCGACCACTGTTCATAATCACCACCTCGAGACTAGGGCCTTCAATCTTTGGTTTGATACCGGTGAAACAACCAGTCAATTGAATAGCCCAGCTCAGGAAATAGAGACGGTCGAACAGGAGGACCACGCACCACTCTCTATTTTGCTTTCTCCGCAGCCGCCCCTCAACTTCCAAGCCACACTGGCGGCTATCTTATTCGCCCGTGAGTCAGAGACAGACTATACTCCCTCGCTTGGGAGTAATGACTCACAGGCGGTGTCGTTTTATCGTGGCGTGCTCGCGCCTCTCAAATCCACTCGAGAGGCAGCGTCATCGGCACATGTTTTGTTCCTTGACCTCGCATTACAGAATACCATGGCTCTTCATTTTCTTCTCGCCGTTTCCCATAACGAACTGGCCATCCATCTGGGACCTCCCAACTATCCTCCACAGGAGTCATGGAAGCATTTTGAATACGGCTCTGAAATATTTCTCACGGCACTTCACCCTTTGGCTCGTTCAACTTATCCGGACCATGTTGCCACAATGCTATCGTTCTTATACATGTACATGTTCTGGATGAGGATCCCTCCCCTCAATGCCCAGAACTTGTGCCAGCTGAGTGTTTCCGTACTCACCTATGTCAAGAGTCATGGCCTGTATGAATTATGTGCAGATTCTGTATCATTGTCCGCTGATACAGTGCTCCTCTCACGAATTCTCACTTATCTCTATGACCGGGATGGATTCTGCAGTTTCTTTGGCTGCGGAGGTGCTTTCGCTAGCTACGGGAATGAGAACCATGACAAGCGCCATAGGATCTGGCAGTTATCGAAATCTATCTTTGCATCTTCAGATGGCCACACAACTGCCTCCGCGATGTCTAGCACGCAACGGCCATTGAATTCACACATTCGGAATGTCTATTTCGAGTTAATATCCATACATCACGATATTAACTGTTATAGCCAGGCCGCCGAGGGCCAGGCACCTCGATTACTGAGGAAGATCAAAAGAAACCTTGCTATGGCGCAAGATGTAAGTCCTGATTCTGTTCTTATGCGTGTTCGTTACTGAACTCGAATTGCAGGAATGCGAATCCCTTTCGCGTCTTGTCGCGCAATGCAGAAGACAAGGAAGAAGCCCGCCACTCATGGCTCTGGTGGCTGTCACGTTCTTCCACGCCATCCAAATATATTTTCACCGCTGCCGCGACTCATATTTTGGCCAGCTCCCAGTATCCGGTGAGATTCAGCAAGCCTTGAGCGATCTTATCACCACTGCATTCCATACTATTGCAACAGGGCCAGTGCAGCTTCTAGAAAGGTTCCAATGGTCACTAATGATAGCCGGGATGGAAACTCATGATCCGGTTCATTTACAGTGGATCCTGGCGAATCTCTCCGACCCTATCCTGAAGAACTTGCTAAATATGGTAAAAGGGGAGCAAGAATTACTCAGTATCTCAATCAAACAATTGAGACAAATCATTGATCCGGTTTCTCATGGTGATATTCGGCGAACGTTGGTTGATTTGTAACCTAGTAACTGTATTTGCGGTCAAAGGTCTGTCCCTATGTTATCACTAGGTTGTACCATCTATACGAAGTCGATCTATTAAGATACTATACAATTATCTTTTTATTTTGATACGCTCCTATGTTCATTGGTCAAAAGACTATCATTTAATGAACCTTTTTCTTTTGCCACAGTCATGCTGATACCTAGCCCTTTGGGGTGGAACCTCCCCCATCTTGGCATTCCGTCGATTAAATTGACCAACCAAAGCGATCAATGAGATATCCCCAAAGTGCGGAGTCCAGGTTAACAACCGAACTGTCCATTCAGAGCGTATCTTTATGACTCCTTCTATTTCCCCGTTATCTGTTCCTCCATGTTGCCAAGGTTCTCTTCTATATATGGCTTGTACTATCCCTTCCTCACGAACAGCATTTTTGCATACATTTCTTACATTGTTACCCAGTGGCATTGAGTCGCATAACATTCTACCATGGAGGCAAAGAACCTCTCCCATGAATTGGCGGACACCAAAACCGATATAAAAAAGGAAAACGTATTGGTAGGGCACGGCACGACCGATACCCTTGCTCCGGAAGACGAGAAGAAATTGATCAGGAAAATTGATTGGCGGTAATTACCACCCTCTCCTGGAAATTTGGAGCTCATTCTTACACGCCTGGCAGTCTAATGCCGATCTTAATCACCTCCTACGGCCTTCAATATCTAGACAGTATGTCAAATTTCCTCGAGACCGTGGCTTAAGATTGACCGGGATAGAAACCAGTCTTGCATACAGTGCGATACTCGGACTTCGTGAAGATCTTGTATGCTCGCCATGATCCAAACTTGTTACCTTCCATTAACCGTGAGCAGAACCTTGTTGGCCAACAATATAGTTGGTCTTCCAGCATTTTCTATATCGGGTATCTTGTCGCATCATACCCAATCTCACTCGGCTTCGTGAGATTCCCATTGGGGAAATATCTCAGCGTGTTAATGTAAGCTAACAGGATTTCCGCATTGGAGACTTCTATTAATCTCGCAACTGCAGTTTTTTCTGGGGTGTTATTTTGACCCTCCACGCTGTGACCAATAACTATGCGAATCTCATGGCGCTCCGGGCACTTCTGGGTATATTCGAGAGCGCTATTAGTCCCGGGTTCTCCCTGATCACGGGGATGTGGTATACCCCCCGAGAGCATGTCTCGCGACACTCCATCTGGTTTGCCGGGAATGCGATCGCCAGTATTATCGGGACTTTAATTGCCTATGGCCTTTTGAGGTATGAGGGAACTTTGGCTCAATGGAAGGTGGGGTGCCCTGGACTTTTTGATGGAGTCAATCGCTAAATATCGCAGCTTCTATTCCTCCTTTTCGGCCTCATTACTGTCGCGTGGTCTATCGTGACATTTTTCTATTTACCAGACTCACCGCAAACCGCCCACTTTCTTTCGGCTTCTGAACGGGAATTTGCAGCGCTACGTCCTTATAGGTTCCAAAGAACTACACAAACCAAGTCCTGGGACCGGGGGCAATTCCTAGAGGCCCTCAAGGACGTCAAGTCATGGTGGTTCTTCCTGTTCTCGTTTGTCATTTGTGTGCCTAATGGAGGCACGACAAGCGTAAGCATCACATCCCATTAAAAGGAATATCCAGATCTAACAACATGCTCAGTTCAATACCCTAATTATTAATGGTTTCGGCTACGATAAGTTCCAGACAATCTTGATGGGACTACCTGCATCTGCCTTCCAGCTGGCCACGGTTCTTCTATCGGCCATCCTAAGTTCCACGATTCGGAAATCACGATTGATCAATCTTGTCTTTATCTTCTTTATGGCAATGGCTGGTATCCTCATGGTGAAGCTCCTGCCACCCTCTGACAAGTTATCACGACTTGCCGGTTTCTGGCTCGTTATGGCAGTTTCCCCGGCCTTTCCGTTGATGTTATCTCTGGCAGCGAGTAACATCGCTGGATTCACCAAGAAATCGACGGTAATGGCCATGATATTCCTTGGCTATTGCGCGGGGAATCTGGCCGGACCACAGTTCTTCGTTTCGGAGGAAGCACCCAACTATCACGTATGTATAGTGCATATCTAGTATGCAAGCAAAGGAGACGACTGCTAATGTGATTGTGTCCAGACCGCCTATACTACGATCTTGGCCTGCTACGCGATTACTATCGCTCTAGTCATCATCTTTCGATTTTACCTTGTGTGGGAGAACGCTCGCCGGGATAAAGAGCAGGGTGTCAAACTTGATCCCGAGGAAGTTCGTCGCGTCAACATTGGTGCGGATGAAGATATACTCCAGGTGGACGAGACAGATAAGGAGAATAGGTCTTTCAGATACATTCTGTAGCCCTCGACCGGCATGTGGTCCGGCTGTCTAGCATTCCTACATTCCTGAATAGTATTATATCCTTGGAAACAAATGAACTGCCCCAGTGGCTAGTGTTGATGAAGACATATTATAGTATATTCCCTGTACTACGGCAGCACCAAACGGTAATATAAAATAAGAATATTAAGTACAATCTCTTCAGTTGAACAAAGAAACCTGAAGTCACGTCTCAGGCTCGGCTGCCAAAAGATCCAGTACAACAAAACAGGGTTGAAGTCTCCATTTAACGCAATACCCAGAATACCCGCTCTTCCCATGGAGACGTCACATCCCTTAGGGCTAGCCTGCCTTGTTTTATCCATGGAGTATATTTCATCTGACAGTTCCAATGGGGCGGTCGTGTGGCCTAGGCTTTTTCTTCCTCGACATGCTCATCGTGGTGACTCTGGCTGACCGATCCTCGTTTTTGATTCACAATCTGCGTGAAGGTGACAGATGGCTTCCACCCAATTGATTTCCGCGCGTTGCTGACTTCCGAGTAAAGCTCATCCACTTGCTCCAAGGAAAGTCCCTTAGTCTCATAGATAAAGAAGTAAACAAAAGCAATGCAAAGGAAGCAGCACCCGAACCAGACGAAGAAGATTTTCGACTGCAGGTTGGCATTGCCCGGCCCATAATTCACCAGGTACGGGGTAGAGTACGCGATGGCCCAGTTGACCAGCCAATTAGTAGCGGTGGTCATGGAAAGACTCTTAGCACGGATCTTCAAAGGGAAAATTTCGCCAGTAACGACCCTACTCCCATATTAGCTATCTTAGAGGTCAAGGAACCAGTGAAGACTTACCAAGCAATAGGTCCCCAGGATGCAGCGAAGAAAAAGATGAAGATGCAGATGAATGCTATCGCAGCTTTCTGTGCCGCTGCGTTTTGCACAATTATGTTGCCAGCGACATCTTGGCCAGTGGTCGTTGTTCCCAGGACAGCGACCAGAAGCTGGGAGATGCACATGCCGATGGCACCCAGCAGGAGAACGGGTCGGCGGCCCCATTTATCAATAGCGTAGAGACCGGGAATAGTTGAAACGACGTTGACGCAGTTTGTGATAAGGCTAATTATAAACTCGTTCTCGAATCCGGAGTTCTTGAAGAACTGCGTGCCGTAGTAAAAGATGAAGTTAATGCCGGTCAATTGCTGTAGGGCTTGAAGACCGCAACCGGTCAGTAGCCGCTTTCCCAAGTTGCCTTGGAAGCACTCGAGATAGCTGGGCTGGCCTAGACTCATTTCGTAATCGTGATTCGCTTGGATCTCAGCAATTTCCTCTCTGACCGCAGGATGATCTTCAGGTAGACGTCGAAGTTTCGCAAGATTCCTGGTGGCTCTCTCATGGTTGTCCTTTTTGATAAGGTAACGGGGGGTCTCGGGTAGGATGAGCATTCCAATAATCAGCACGATAGCCCATGCAAACTGGACTGCGATTGGGATGCGGTAAGAACCGGTGTCATTCCGACTGTGAGTTGAATTGTTGACGACCGAGGCCAACAGTAGGCCAATAGTAATAGCGAGCTGGTATGAACCAACGATAAAACCACGGATCCACTTTGGCGCCGTTTCGGATTGGTATAGAGGAACTGATATAGTAATTAGCGAGAAAGATCATGCATGACCGAATAAGTTTGGGTATGTACTGAGCGCGGAAACCAAGCCTACACCAAATCCAGCAAAGAATCTACCGGCAAGAAATAGCGGGATGGAAGTCGCAGCTGTTTGCAAAATGACGCCGAAGTTGAATACCCAGCTAGAGGCGATCAAGCCCCATCGACGACCGATGGTGTCTCCCAGCGGAGCTGCACAGAGAGCACCAAAGAATGTTCCGGCCGATAGGATGGAGACAATAGCGGAGGACTGGCTAGAAGTAATGTTGAGATGTCCCGTAGCATCTCTATAGCCGGTTGAGAAGAGGTCTTGCCAGTGCGGCATAGCAAGGATGCCACTGATGGTGCCTGTATCATATCTAAGAGCAGAAGTTAGGTATATCCAAGGCTCAGCCCATGGAGTGATGAACGTACCCAAACAAGATACCTCCAAAGGCGACAAAGCTAGAAATAGCAATAGCCGGCCATGATGCCCCGGGTACATTCTCAGGTTTCTTTAACCAAACCCCCATGGTGTCGATAGAGTAGAGTAGATCGTAGACGTGTAAGACGTAAATGTCATTCCAAAGAGCGTTCTGGGGGAGGCCCAATGCTGTATCTTATATCTTTGCAAATCAAGAGACCAACTATGGCTCGATTTCACGCCTCGAAGTGTAATAGATTGTCCCGTTCTGTTGTTTTGGGGGGTCTGAGCAGCAAGGAAGGTTTTCGGGGCGCATTTTAGGCATTAAAGCCGACAAACTAAACGTCTGGACCCCTAACATTGTTTAATTTCTGCGGGGTTTCGCCGACGTACACTTTCCAATTGCCTATTCTGCCAATCAGCTTCAATCGGCGGCCTTGGAACTTTTCCTGGGGAGCTTGGCAGGTCGGACCAGCCACTTCCGATGGCGACCGACCCTCCCTGTTCTGCATACCGAGTACGCCATCAGTGTAGGGAACGGAGATGCGGGATCGAATCATCGGCCTTGGCCATCCGTCTTCCACGGGCTGTGCGGGTCAAATACGAGACCGGGGTTATCTACAGGGTCTCTCGGTGTCCTAGGCAGATGGTACCTGAGGCAAACTTAGCCTGAATACAGCTGGAGTCCAAGGCAGGCTCCCCTCCAGGGATACAATACATGGAACCACAATAGTTCTTGGTTACTTTGGAAACAACCCATATAGTGTAGGCATCATGGAAGAAAGCTAGGGGGGAAGCTTGTAATAAGGTTTAGAATAAACACCTCTAGTACGTTATGCATGTCAGAAAAGAGGTTTATTACGCGAGCTTTACAGTTTACCTACATCATGGGACATGCGGTGGATTCCCTCCAAAAGTTCATATTATTCTTTATTAGCATATGAAGCCAGGACACAGATCCACCGGGTTCCCCATGGGGTAGTGGGGTAAGCCGAGCGGGCATCTCTCGCCTCTCCGAATGGATACACCACCCGAAGATGGCCCGAAATTTCTCCTCGCCCAGCGAATTACCATCAGTTCCAGGAACGAGCAGAAAGGGCCTTGTGACAATGGAATGATGATGTGCGCCGAGAAACACCCAGACATTTGACCACATGGACAGGTAACTGGCGTGCTACGCGTGCTACAGGATGCCGAACCAACGCGAAAGTTATATCGTTCTCTAGAATATCTTTGTACCGGCCAACTGGTTCTTCTCGAAAGGCGAACCCTGGTAGTTCTAAGGAGTCCCGAAGAACGCCCGGCATTCGGTCCCATACCCATGGTGCCGTTAACCAATTTTGCGGGGTGAGAGTTTGGATTTCTCCGAAGAAAACCAGCGCGGCAACGTACCTGCTGCTAAACTCACTTCCTGTTCATACCTACCGCCTATGTATCACTCCCTCTAAGTAGAGGACGAATGGGGAAGATGGTATTTTTGCATTATATCATATATTTCGAAGGTGACGATGCATCGCCATCCACGCTTCCAAGAAAGTACTGAAAATATGACGAGTAAGTTTCCAACCCCCTAGCATATTTCCATGATTCAAGGGAGTGGGCGGGACATTCCGGCTAATCTTTTCACCTTCCTCAACCCCCACTCCCAAAATGAGCCAGCAAGACTCACATCACGGTTTCCGGCCAAAGCCTTCCTATAAAAAAGGTCTTCTGGAGCCGGCACTTCAGAACTGGACGTTTGGGGATCTACTCCAGCGTCAAGCCGAGCAATTTCCAGGTAAAATTGCGATTTCCTGCCCAGGCACGTCCAACCCTATCACCTATCGCCAATTGAACGATCGCACCAAGCTTCTTGGAGAAGCTCTGATTGCAAATGGGATCTCTGTTGGAGACCGCGTTGGCATCTTTGCAGGAAATGTTTTAGAATATGTTGAGGTTGTGCTAGCAACCGCGCGCATTGGAGCAATCATAGTCCTGTTGAACACCTTTTACACAACGGAGGAAATCAAAAGAGCCCTGCGATTTACTGGTTAGTGTATACTGGTATAGTTGACAAACCAATTTTAATTTCAATATATAGGGTGTTCATTGCTATTTATCACCAGGAGCCTTGGGAAACGCAGTCTGTTGCCATGCATCGATGAACTCAACGAGATGATTAAAACCCAGAAAAGCGAGTTTCCAGATCTCCGAAGCATCGTTCTTCTCTCGGGACACTGCTCAAAATCTTCCAATCTGCAATCTTACACGGATTTTGTCAAGTTCCCACCGAACGGTACGAAGGCCGGTTCTGCTTACGAGGCAGCAGAAACACAAGTTGACCCAGAGACGGTCTGTAACTTCCAATTCACCAGTGGAACCACAGGGATGCCCAAGGCAGTGATGCTCACACACTTGTAAGCCCTCCTAGGTACCGCGTGTTCGCGTACAAGCTGACCCGAGGGAATAGTAACGTGCTCAATAATGGATTCCTAATAGGTGAACGAATCGGTCTCACTCCAAATGATACCATATGTTGCCCATGGCCGTTGTTCCACTCGTCTGGTTTTGTTGTTGGCCTGACAACATCACTGTGTCATGGTGCAACTCTCATTCTACCGTCACCAGTATTTGATCCCGCTGCCACAGCACGAGCACTAATCTCCGAAAGGTGCACTGGACTTCAAGGTGTCCCAACTATGTTTTCTGCTGTGCTCGAGTGGTGTCATCAACGCGGTACTCGTCTACCACCTCTTCGAACAGGAATCATTGGTGGATCACCAGTCTCCCCGGCTCTTCTGAGAGAGCTGCAGCATGAATTTGCCCTGCAAGATCTCGGGATTGCATATGGTGGTTTCCCGATCCCTCTTCAACTTCCCTTCGCACAGTACTAATATAATTTTACTAGGCATGACTGAAACCTCGCCGCTCAGCTTCCTTTCCAAGGGCTTTGAATCAGATGGAACCCACACATGGATGGAAATCTTACCACACACGACTGCAAAGATAGTGGATGCGCAAGGAATCACTGTTCCCATCGGAAGACCTGGAGAACTGTGCGTCTCGGGGTATCTGTTGCAGCGAGGATACTATCAGAACCCCGAGAAGACGGGTGAGGTCATGCGCGTGCATGAAGATGGAGTTCTCTGGATGCATACAGGCGACGAAGCAATTATGGATACCCAAGGACGTTGCCGGATCAGCGGCAGGATCAAGGATACTATAATTCGTGGCGGAGAGAACATATATCCAGCAGAGATCGAGGATTGCCTGAATGAGCACCCGGCAATCTCGATGTCGGCGGTGGTGGGTATCCAAGATGCAAAGTACGGAGAAGTAGTGGCTGCATTCTTGCAACTCAAACATGGCAAAACCCCCTGTGCAGAGGCACATATCTCGGAATGGATTCAGCAAACCCTGGGGAAACACAAGGTACCAGCACTTGTATTTTACCTCGGTGTCGATGGCGTTCCTGGTCATTTCCCTAAGACGGCAAGTGGGAAGATCAAGAAAGTTGACCTGGAGGCCATTGGAACTCGGCTAGTCCGCGGAACGGGTAAACTGTAGGAGTTTACTGGTGTCCAGTCTACACGGATGTCTATCCCTCTGGTCGCATTGTCAACGGTGATCCACAAGGCGGTTCCACTCAAAAGGCTCCAAGAGTCGAGGTTTTCTTCAAATCTCCCGCGTATCTTTCATCAATCTTCGCGTTTTATCGTTCTCGTTCTTGTTTTGCTTATTTCCTTCTGGAGTATTGTAAAGTCGGTTCGGAATGAGGCTGACTCGCGCTTAACCGGTATGACTTGTCTGTATTGTCATATTGGCGAGTACAATTTATATTTATTTGTAAATGACTGTATCGTCATCGATGCAGGTCAAGTAGATAACATGATGCACAAGGTTATAAAATAGTACCCCAGGCAAGAGAAATCTGATTCTCCTCAAGACTCAAGAATCAGTTACTGTGTTAACAGTCTGCTGCCTTCCAAGATCGATTCAATCCGCATTGTCTCTTTCTTATCTGGCCAACAGGCATCGTGAATCAATCTCAAGTCCAAGCGGCCAAGGCAGCCATCCTCACCCAGTGGCCAGATCAAATGCAATACCCTCTTGTGCAAGGCGGCTACTATTAGTGACTGTCTATCATCTTAGAATTTATTTTTATTTTATTTTCTTGGATTTTAGTGTTGGATTTTGCCTCTGCGAAATGTATGTGGTTTTACCTGATCTGATTTAACCATGTCTAGCCAGCTGACCTATATCAAAGTTGCCACTGTTTTCTCTGATTTGGCGCTCTCATTTGGTGATGTATTGTCACGATCTGCTCGTTCTTGTTACCTGATGCCTGAGATTAAGAGTTGTTCAGTTTGCATCTCCTATGGGGATTTATTCATGTACGATAGCTCTCTCTCTCTCTCTCTCTATTTTCAGTTTCGAAGTCTTTGTTGAATGGCACAACTTCGTCGGTCCCATCAATTCTGAGCAGTTTCCGGTATCGTCACATGCGGTGCCATGGACTCGTTCGAAGACATCCATTAGAGCATATTAGATATAGACCCGGAGTTGGGAATCTGCTCCAACTAGCAAAATGTTGGTCAGAGCAAGCCAAAACTAGAGGTAGATTCAAGCAGGTAGCCTGTCTCAAGGGAGCGGGGGTGATGGGCCATGGAAATATTCTCCTCATATCTCTAATGGCAGTCATATGAAAATCTTCCCTTACGCGCCCAAGCTGCCGCAGGGCAAGGCCGTGTTATCCAAGGACAAATGGTCCTCCGTCCAGGTTATACTTTGCGGCGGTATTATAGACATTAGTCTTTTACGGACAGGTTGCATTATTCCCTAGCCTCATGCTAGTAGTGCGGGTTCTAGGGATGCCAGGCTATCAGAGCCAGTCGACAAGGGGTCCGCGAGGTTACAGACGAAAGCTTGTGGTAACATAGGAGCACACTCTTGACTCTGAGGCTCTAACGAATACTCCAGAGAAGAAACGTACGGAAGGTAACAGCCGACGCTTACGATCTTACAGAGCGGACTCCAAATGTCTACCGGTTTTTAGGAGACAGAAAAATGCCCTTTAAATGGGTTCTTAACGTTGACGCTATGTACATCTCACCCTACTAATTAAGATCAATTCACGTTCGGTTACAAGACTAAATTTGACCAAAGTCCAATCTTTCCCTCCTCAACCACTGCCCAGTAGTCAACGCAAATACAATTGACCTTAGCTGCTGAAGTAGCTCCTCATGTTCCGGAATCGTATTGGAAAGTATTTCAAGTAACATATCAGTATACTCCGGCGATTCGAATCTCCGTGCTTTGAGTGAGACGATCTCAAATCCATCAGGGTATATCACAGCGTCGCCCCAGTCAATCAACCAGACCTTTCTATCAGAGCCTAATATCAAATTACGGGGTGCAATATCCATATGAGTGAGAACAAGTTTGTCAAAGTGAAACAGCGGGACATCATTGGGCGCCTGGTGGAATTTCTTGTGATGTCAAGTCGGCGGTTGAACCAAGTTTCCATATGCGCCTTTGACCTGAACGGACCAGCTCCAATATCGGTAAACCAGTATCCATGAGCTACAAAACCTTCACAGCCCACCGGGCCAGGCTGATCCTGTTGCTCTTGAGATAGCGGAATAGAGCGCAGAGTAGTTATCATTGAAGCAACCTGAGAGACAACATTCATACGCTCAGTTTGTTTCAAATCACCCCAGCATTGCTCAACTAAAACGCCATCAATGAAATCCATAAGGATCATGCATTTGTAACCGTATATTTCATCTGGTTCAATATTGAGAACTCGGTAGACCTTAGGCACTCGGATTGTTTCTGATCCATCACATTCGGCGACAAGGTTGAGGATGTTGGCCTCAGATGGCCGTGCACCTAGGTAAGTTCGCGTCGCAACAGAAGCGGTATGATATAGCGTGGATCATCTGAATTGCCGACCTTAGGACATGTCTTACCATAAATTATTATGTAGGTAGATATCACATGATCCATATTCTACCAAATTTTCCCGCTATAACCAAAATTTAAATCGTGAACGGGCTGAACAGGCTGAAGAGTAGGGCGGCAAGAGGGACTTTCCAAAGAAGAAAAAAGAAGAAAATACAAAAATACATACAACAGTGAGGATTCGCTGGTGGTCACCCACCCAACTACTAACTCACCGGCGTGTGGCTTAAGTACGGCTGAGCGGACGGGAAGCCCTGTTTTCCACACCCTATGGTCGTATGTATCAGGGTGAATGTTAGAGAGAATGATACGGTCAAGTTAGTGAGTAGGTAGTAGATGGTAGGCAGGAGGTGAGTGCAATGTTATCTAGATGCGAACTCAGGCCGCTACCTTGGTAGGTACCTAGGAGGTACACCTAAGTAATTAGATAAGAGATTTAACCACTAACTAGGGCAAAATATAACAAAAATCGGAACCTTTGTTCATTACTGCAGCTGTATATATATCGGGCCCGATGATCCATTATGTACCACACCAGCTGCTCATAGCCACAAATTAGTGAGGTCCAAATCAGGAATACTCATCGATTTAATATACCCTCTTGACACTGGCTATATCCCTTCGTACTGTACATTAATTTTGAAGAAAACTGCCCTAAATGGTGTCTCAGCGCGACCCTTATACCCGTAGCAAGTTGATAATATATATCCACTCTAAGTGATAGGTTGTACTATATAGAAACGTGGTGTCAATGACCAGCAATTCCACGTATGGGATATGGGTCTGGTTCACAATGTATAAACCGAACACTAAATATAACAGCCATTAAAAAGACGACGCCGGAAGACCAAAATGAAATAAGCTTAGACCCCAAACTCAAGCTATAACCTAATTCGACTTCCCCGAAAACGAAACCAGAGCATGATAAGACTCAGTCAAAGGCCACAACCCCTGAGCAAAACCAACCGCCCCAGCAACAAGAAGCACATAATAAGCAACCGTCCAACCAACACCCAACCCACCACCATTACCCCTGACCCCAATTTTGACATCATCATCAGAATCCTCTTTACCCCGAGTCACAGGGGGACTGATAGTCTCACCCGCCTCAACCCGTCCCCAGAACCGCGGCAATCCACACCAGTTACAGAAACTATGGATGAGAACAACGGATAGCAACGAGCCCGTCCGTAAATACACGAAAGTCGCATACCAGCCGAAAATAGTCGTGTAGCCGAATTGGAAGAGCGACCGCAGCAGTGCGGCTACAGCCGGCGTGTCTGGGTGCGTGAGACCGAACTCGTAGAAGTGGTGCACGTGCGCGATGCCGAAATACAGCGGCGCCAGGAACACGATTCGACCCGGCGAGGTGTGTGCTAGTAAATGTAGCGGGACCATCGCGGATCGGAACATGACTTCTTCGGTAAAGGGGCCCTGGGTGATGTTAGATTTTTTTTTTGTTTTTTTTTTTTTTGGTAAAAAGGGATAGAAAAGAAAAGACAGTGCTTACTGCAACATAATTCCTCCAGCCAATCCAGCCACCCAGACACTCGGAGAGACTACTACGACGGAACCAGAACTTCCATTCGCCCTCGACAATGCCACGCTCGAAGAGCGGACCGAGGAATAGAATGGCGGTTAGGAGAAGACTGCGAAGGGTCTCTAGCAGGCCGACGGGCCACCAGCCGAGGAGTCTGACACCGGCACCGAGGGAGGAATTGTCCTCCTCGACGATGAGCCAGAGGACCAGGACGGAGCTCACGATACATGAGCCCGTGACGACGCGGATGCGGGCACGGATCACGGACGGGGCATCGCGACTGAGACTTGGGGATGGGCGGGTTGTTGGGGAGATATAGAATGGGACCACGTAGAGTAGTGTGAGGAGGACCTGTACGGGAGTTAGATAAGATTTAGAGATGTGTTTTTTTTCTTTCTTCTGTTCTTGTGTTCTTGGTGTTTCTAGGAGTTCTACATACAGATAGAAATGCCACCGTGTGTTCTGACAGGGCAGGTTCATCTGGTTTCGTGTTAGCTAATATTTCTTTTTTTAAATTTTACCCCTGACTTACCCTGCTTGGAGTATAGACTCCTGAGTTGAGCCATTATCCCTACGGGTGCCATGTTGGGAGGTTCAAGTTGCTATTTATGGATTTTCAGCGGGAGAAAAGAGGAAGGGTGTGTTCTTTGTTCCTGATACCGTACAATGATAAAGGTGATTATTGGATGGAAATAGTATAATACAGTATGGTATTGTCATGACGCACCATGGACTGAGACAGGAAATCAATGTCAATTTCTTTTCTTTTTGATATTGACACCTTGGCTATTTCATTCTATATATACATATATAATACATATATGATATATATATACTATCCAAGTATAATCAACTCAGTTTCAGTGAACAGGGTTTCTTAAGCAAAACCGGATTCGAACTGGTGGACCGTGCAAAAAAAAACTGGATGTGAGCCCTCTCATCCCAACCCCCTTGAGTCTCTTCTCATCTTAAATGTGAGTCAATGCGAGGGATCGTGAACAGTTATTCTCCGATCACGAGGAACCAAATATCTATTGGCAATGAGCATATCATTATTGTTCTG